AAATACAAGACATGCAATTTTTTTATTTGTTATTATTAGCTTTGAACTAGCTGTCAGTAACTGAGAGTACTCTCACAGCTGTACTTTGTGTCTTTTTGTTGTTGTTACCCTGCAACGTCCGATCTGTGTTTTTGTTAGCTGTTTTTCTTCTTTATATCGATCTGATGAGTAAAGCCCTTTTCAACTGATTTTTATAGTAACTTTGTTCTTACACTATGTTGTGATGGAACACCAGTGTCCCAAGTTAGGGGCTCAGACATGTTTAATCCCGCCACATTCTTTATGTGTCTGTCCCAAGTCAGGAGCCTGTAGTTCAGTAATTGTCGTTGGTTCATGTCTGTCATATTTGTTTTTCGTAAATTGTTTGTTATAAATTATGCCTTAGCTTTCTAAATTGAATCGTTACATATTTTCATGTCGGAGTCTTTAATAGCCGACTATACGGTATGGGGTTTTCTCGTTGTTGAAGGTCGTACGGTTGCCTATAATTTCTTACATCCACTTCATTTGAACTTTGGTGGATAGTTGTCTCATTGGCAATCATACCACACCTTATTTTTATAGTAAACAGAACTAACTAACTTAGTAAATCCGCAACATAAACGGGGAAAAAAAACTAAAAACAAGATTACCAACAATGGGGCTTAATTTAACAAAAACCTGGCTGCACACATCTGTTTCAGAGGTAACCAATTATTGCTTATAAAAGTAGCGGGAACTTACAATTGTTGACTATTAACCTTAAAATAATAAATATGTGAAACAGAAACACACAAATTAAACTTCTTATGACTGATGAAGCCGAACTCTGAGATATTTTTTCCTTAAACACGACCGAAACACCAGACCTAATGTTAGGGCTCATGGGTGAGCTCGGATGCTTTTATTGACACACAAGGAGCAATCATTCATATTTTTCTTATTTTCTGATATCAAAAAATGATTTTTTGATGTAAAAAAATCGAATTTCTGAAATCAAGAAATATATATTATTTTCTGATATCAAGATATCGAATTCTTGATATCAAAAACGGGAATTTTTGATATAATAAAATTGAATTCCTGATATCAAGAAATATTTTTTGATACCAAAAAATATTTTCTGATATCAGTAATTCAATGTTTTGATATCAAGAAATGGTTTTTTGATATCAGAAAATAAGGAATAAATAGTAAAACAGCGCCTCATACAAACCGACAACTTTAGATATGGTACTTGCCGCTTCTATGCTACGCACGCTGATTTTAATAGGAGTAATGTTAATACTTGTCTCAGCGTCAGAATAATGAGTCTGGGTAGGTAGCAGGTTTTTCTGTCAGTGATAGTATACCCAACGTGTAAGCTACAATATCTAAAATATGTTTAATCATATGGATATAGTACAAAATTACGGAAGCAAATTAGCGTCACACAAACTTTTTTTTATATTTCTTCCTATCTTTGCGTTATAACGCAAACCTTTGCGAGGTAACGCAAACCTTTGCGCATTAACGCAAACATTTTGATTTTAATCATTCATTTTAGAATCAATAACTATATTAAATTTACATTTTACGTTTATTATATATATATTTCAGTTTAGTAAGGTAGCCATTTAAGATGCTTGGGTAGCAATTTGAATGTAGAGTAAATAATTATGATAATAAAAAATCTCCACCTTATACATTTATTTCAATAGGATAGCTTGTTTGGATCTTACCAATATTACACAACGCTCATACGAAAACGTACTTTGGAAGTATATTTAAATTCGGTTACATTAACAGGGTTGATATTTTATTTTCTTCCGTATAACTTCAATTTACTCAATTTTCTTTGTAACATTCTCCTGTTCATTATTATGCTATGCTATGCTATGTTATAAACACTCCAGCATTTTACTTTGCAATAAGTGCAAAGAATGATAAAATTTAATACATGCAGCCTCCTTTATTCATAACAGCTGCTTCCCTTGAAACTTAACTAAGAAATTTGATAAAACAATTGTTTGCGTTATTTCGAAAAAGATTGCGTTATATCGCACAGGTTTGCGTTATTTCGCAAACATAGGAAGAAATATAAAAAAAGAAGATTTGAGTGGCTCTAATACGCTTCCGTACAAAATACAAAATGTTCATATAAAATTAAAATGTTATCGCCAAAAATATGCGTGCAATACATTTTACTGGGCGTTACAGTGTGTAAGCACCATTATGTCATAAGAATTGCTCAGGGTTCAATTAAGATTTATGACTCCTTATGTGTGTCTGTGTATTGCAAAATATTCAGAGTGCAATAATGCCAAAAGAGCAAAAGTACTGAATAAAAGAGACGTGTCATTTCGTACATGTATCATAGGGAAACATCGTTCATTGCGGCAACGCAAGCCATGATTTTAACAGAAAATCCAGATCTTATTACATACATTTTCGTTGTAACATTTGAAACATAGACTAATCTCTTGTTGTGCTAGCGTTTTTATTTTGCATACAAAAAAGTCCTTATCAACCTTTACAATCCAAAATAAAACCTAGTGTTGAGTCACTTACATTAAGCACAAGCTATAGAAGGTGTACTTGAATAGGTCCAAAAAGAAGAAATAGACGAAGCACTTACAGTCACACCTCACAAATTCTCTCATTAATGCTGTATGTAAAGTTTGGGTTATATTTGACTATAAGTCACATGTATTCATTACTGAGCCAGGCATCACATATAGTTAAAACTCACTTCTCACATGAAAGAGTTACTTCCATATCAAAAGCGTTAGAAGAATAAATTAAATCCGTATACCAAATTATTTTTTTTTCTTTCAGAATGTTTGCCCACTGCAGAATGCTTCTGTGATTTCCAAACTTTTCATCAGTTGGTTTACACCGTAAGTTAAAGTAATTAAAGTTAAAGTCCTATAACAATTTTGAAAATAAATTATTAAACGTAACTATGAAAAAAATAAACAGTTGCATTGAAAACTGCTAGAATGATAAAACGTTTGATATATTTCATATATTTTCACACTATCAAAGGAAATGAACTTCCCATCACGGGAAAAGTTGTATATACATTTAAGAAACAGTATGAAATGACAAATCAACAAAATCGAATTACATAATAATTGGATGCACTTATTTTCAGCTGACCCGAGTATGCTACACGGTCATATTAAACAGTAGCGAATGATATAGCATATACATGTACATAGATTAATTTTGAATTGGTATTTTTTTAATAACTCTCTACACCTACAGTTGATAACGACACCAACAGGTAATTCAAGGGGCCTTCACAAAAATGGGAAGCTAGTACGTGTATATGAATACTACTAGTAGTTTTTAAGCTTGTATCTCTGTTATACTTACATGTACCACAACGATATTTTTCTTGTTTTGGTTGTATAGCATTTTTGTAAAAAAAATCTTTTTATTTATTGAGTATGAAGAAAAGGAAAGCGGTCAATATTTTTTTTTTAAGCAATGAGCTTCTAGCTTCGTTAATAGAATTTTGGGAAAAACAAACTCATTTTAGTGTTAAAGTTTAATCAAACATTATTTTAGTTTTATTGACGATGGCGGCACATGTCTCTACCCTGTCTGCTAATTTTTACCACGGATGCCTGCATACTGTACTCATTACTTTTTGGTATTTAAATTAAATATTATTTTTAAATTCTGTATTAAGAGTATTAAGAGACAAGACAATTAAATTTTAGACACTTTGCTTTAAATTTTTCGGCTTCCTGTTGAAGTGTCGTAAATGGTTTTACTAGAGGTTGGTGATTTGGGTATATCATGTTTTATCTCCCAGAAGAACACAGTCGTCCGGGAAATATAGCGAACCATCTCTACCAATTTGATGCATCATTGTCTATAATTGTTGGGCGTCATTCTGATAAACGGTCAATTAGTTTTTGATGACGACCATACGAAGAGATTACCTCAGTCGTGGGAAAACAAACCCCTGTTTGAGTCAGTTTTTTGGTACTCTTCAAAAAAACTCTGTAATGCCAACAAGCACTTTAGTAACGTATGCATTGAAAGATATAAGCTCCATACACAGATTCTCCTGGAATATTGCTACATATGAATGTGACGTTGATTTAAAATTGATTCCAATCCATTAAGGAAGAACCTCAACATTAACAAGGGTACCATGAACGGGAGCATTTCCTCGCAACTAAACATGTCGGTGTGAGCTTTTCCCTTATCTTTTAAAATCAATTGACTTCTAGTTCTCCTCATGTTGAATGTGTACATCAAATATGGTGAAGATTGTTTGAGGAACACAAGCTCTACAGTATCCACTAGTGTGTGACGGACGGACGGACAGTCACCTTACAATATCAATTCCGCAACTTTATTGTGAGGGCAAAATTACATTAGGAAACATGAAAAAAAAACAATTGCAAAACGAGTTAATCGCTATTGGTATGTGAGAATTGCACATCTAAATATTAATGAACACATAATTGTAGATAAAAAAACTAATACACGGATACGTTTCAACGTGAAATACGGTATACATACATAAACATGAGAGAGAGAGAGAGAGAGAGAGAGAGTAATGGTATTCCTTAATCTTAATGACTTTTGTCTTTGATACGACCCCTCCTTTCTACCTGTAAACTGTAGGTGTCATTAGTTAGTGTCTCAAATTATGCAAAAGGTATATTAAGATATAGCCACAAAGAAAATCTTTTGACTGGTTCAAAATAATAATGAAAACGATTGTAGACATTGATTTATATTATCGGATAAGTTTAACCGGACAGGGTTAGTATTGAATAGATATTCTATCTTATATAAAATAAAAAAGTAAACTATGAAGATAATAGATGAAATTTGAAAAAGAAAAAAAAAACAACATTGTACTGGAAATATATTTGCTGTAAGTAAAGGGTTAGGTCAACTTAAATGTCGATAAGAAAAACCAAGATGAAACTTGGTTTGTCACCGATTGTGCGATGATTAGCGAAATAAGAATGGGGATAAATAGCGTCAAAAATAATTGTTAATAGTTCAATATGTTAGAACATAAGGTAATTAAACACTTTTTAATTTTATATAACTATATAATAACAACAGCAAATGCAAGATGACCGATTTAACATCTCTTATGTTTCTTTTAAAGAATAATAACTCTATGTTATAAACAAACGATTACTAAGACTAATCTTTGGAATCAAGAACAAGATTTGAAGGCAGAAAAGAATATTACTGAACTGCAGGCACTTTGGAAAACTAAAGAATTGATCTATTCACGCAGGTGAGTTCAACATGATTTAAAAAAAAAGAAAATAAACATCATTTTAATGACATTTATATGCAACAATATTCTTTTTGTTAAACCAACGTTTTAACCTGAATGCTTTCCATTAACTGTTGAGACACTTTCATTTAAATAGCTGAATACTATACTCATATTTTTCTTTTTTTAAAGGAATTTTCAACATAATATATCATATCTCTTGGAAAATAAAAGTAACAACCAATCACCTAACGAAGAGACTTCCTTACTACATGAAAATATGCCAAACGATGATGACCAATTAAAGAAAGCTGATGTCCCGTCGCTTATTGGTTGCCTAATCAAGTTGTATGGATTCGAATGGTCACGGATATCTTTGTTGTATCTATTAGGTAGTGGAGCTACTCTTCTTAATCCTATCATTCTCAGGTTTGTACAAGCATCCAGCATTGTCCTGTTTCTAAAGCAGCCATTGAGGAATCAAACGATAATAACTGTCAATAGAAAAATATTCATTTCAGTTAAAAATTTTGCACGAAATATTTATACGGCACTGTCATATAAGGGACTTGCCATAACATGGCAAATGCACAGGGACTTGTCTCTGAAAAAGTACCTATATTATTTTCAGAGACACGTGCCTTTGATAATGATAAAACTAGTTAAATACTTCAAAGGAAAGTGGTAAAAATTGAATACAGAAAACTCATCAAATATACCAGACTTATAATTTTGTACACACACGGTATCGTCAACAAAAATTTACCAGTGGTACTCGAATAAAACAAAGTAGGAAAAGTTGAAATATAGTCAATTTGGTTTGCTACTGTTATTTCGTTTCACCATTTTGCCTCGTGTATCACTGAAGAAACATTATCTAACGAAGTGCGCATCTGGTGCAGTAAATTTTGTACCGTTTTAAGTAATTGTTTTCACGCATACAATTATGAGGGTGTGGATGGGTGTCCTTCATTTATGTATTCTTTAAATTTTTTAGTACATTTTTTTTTCTATTCTTTATATGGTTTGTCCATTATTCTGTATTCTTTATATTCAAGCACCCCATTATTCTCTATTCTTTAGTTTTTTTGACCATTTTTTCTATGTTCTTTATATTTTTCGCCTATTGTTATCTATTCTGTAAACCCCAATCCAGACCCTCATGTATAAGTATATTTTTACCCTGATCATTACATTCGTCACAATATATAACTGACAGCCTTTATCACGCAATGTGAGTGATGTATCTTTGTCAGGGATGTTAAATAGAATAATGTGTAACCTAGTCGTATTAGTGATACACTATATCAGTAGCATTCATTGATGCTCCCAAAGCCATTTTAACCAAACTTTAAATTCTGTATAGTTGCTTTCAATGCTTTTCTTTCAGTCAACATGATGAATAAAATTGAGAATGGAAATGGGGAATGTGTCAAAGAGACAACAACCCGACCATAGAACAGACAACAGCAGAAGGTCACCAACAGGTCTTCAATGCAGCGAGAAATTCCCGCACCCAGAGGCGTCCTTCAGCTGGCCCCTAAACAAATATATATACTAGTTCAGTGATAATGAACGCCATACTAAACTCCAAATTGTACACAAGAAACTAAAATTAAAAATAATACAAGACTGACAAAGGCTAGAGGCTCCTGACTTGGGACAGGCGCAAAAATGCGGCGGGGTTAAACATGTTTATGAGATCTCAACCCTCCCCCTATACATCTAGCCAATGTAGAAAAGTAAACGCATAACAATACGCACATTAAAATTCAGTTCAAGAGAAGTCCGAGTCTGATGTCAGAAGATGTAACCAAGCTAGTTTGCGGGAAAACTATTTGTTTTAATGTTTTAGGGAAATAATACAGCAAGTGGAAAGCGTGGACGAAAGAAGAACTTGGTATAGTATTCTACTTGCTGTATCATTTTATATTGTATCTCAAATGAATTGTTTTTGTTTTCAACATTCTGAACAAATGATGTTGCGGTTGGCTCTGAAAGTGAAGACGTCACTTATCGGACTTATTTATCACAAGGTTAGCAATTATAGATAGAACAAATGTATCAAAGAGGGGGACTTAGTTATTGAACATGGGTACAACAAGTTTACATCATCAATCCGTCATAGTACCAAAATGCATTTGTCGACATCAAAATCGTCAAATATTTATTCATTACTATTTCCAATATAACGGACGGATTTATAGGAGAAAAAGAAAATATTAACATAAATACCGAAATCCAAGGAAAATTCAAATAGGGGAAGTCCATAAAAACTGACAAAATCAAACGTTAGACTTTATCAACCAACGGAACAATTGGAAAACAACTGTCATATTCCTAACTTGGTATATGCATTTTCCGAAGAAATGGTGTTTCAAACCTGGTTTTAAAGCTAGCTAGAAAGAGTGGTGAATTTTTTAAAATTGGCAAACACTGATCATCGTGGGTCATAAATTTCGAGGGCTGCATATATATACTCGTATAGAACAAAGAAACATGATTTGAAAATGTTTTTTGACCATAACCACTTATATGGTTTCATGATCATCAGTGCCTATATAAAAACCTTTGCAAATTTAAACAGATAACGATTTAATTCCTAAGCTGTTTTATAATTATTGTTGCAAAAAAAAAAAAAAAAAAAATAGGAATTTACTATCATTAACAAATATATATTATTGATAGATTGAAATACAAATGTCTTTGGCGATACATAGTCTTATTGTATAATAGCTTGGTAATGAATATTAATTTACGAACACATACTATTGTATCAACCCATATCTATTTGATTTGTGTTGCTTATGTTAACGGAGGGCCGATAACGTACCTTATATCCGTACTATATTTCGTCATAAGCGTAACTATTTCAATAAAGTGTTGATAAAAAAAAAATGGGCGAGAACATATTTACGTAAACAACACACACAGTAAGCGTTTCTTGTCAGCACACTGCGCTCACTAACAATTAATAAACCATAATTACTGGACACACGTTTCAAGATCTTTTATTTAAACTGATACCAGAAGACAACTATAGTTTTGTGTATTCCTTTTATAAATATGTTCGGTCTTTTTAGTGCTTACAGTCAAGTAACAGTTCTAAAAAAGATTTTACTGCTGGAGAAATTCTTAGCCTTGTATCAGTGGATTGTCAACGAATTCAAGATTCATTTGCGTTTTCCCAATCTTTATTGTCAATCTGGTTCATAGTGGCAATTGGCATTTATGAACTTTGGGAGCCACTAGGTATATCATTATTTGGATGTGTGGTTGCAATTATTGCTGCAGCAGTGGGAAATGTTTTATTTGGAAAAATCCGACAGAATTACTTTAAAGATATTTTGACGCTAAAAGGCAAAAGAGTAAAGCTATTTGACGAGATAGTGAAGGGGATAAAGGTATGTCAGTATACACAGTTGAATGAAATAGGTCATTGTCCTTGCAGTGTTTTTGTTTAATAGTGTTTTCAGGATGCTGTTTGAATCCCCCCCCCCCCAAAAAAAATAATATAAAAAAAATATGTTAATATGTAATGCTAAAGTTGCTTTCATCAAATATGTTGAATCAATGTTAACCAAATATCTATTTTATATTGAACACAACACTTCTAAACATTATAAATAAGAGGTTAAACATGGTCCTTGTGGCCATGTTGTCGTAGGAGACCTTGTCATTTTTCCAGACCGATCGAATTTTCTTCACAAGAGTCTAATATATTTTTTCTAAAATTAATCAGAAGGAATATTTAAAAGTCAGCACTTTTCAGCTTACTGCAAATCTAGGTTAAGAAGAGAGGAATATTATAAAAGATAATCATTTTATTATTTCTTAAAAAAACGGATAGGCTTGTTGATAGTTGTATTAAACATTTTAAAGTAGATTTATAAGTAAAAACTCAGAGATTGTGATATCAACTCAGGATACATCTTTCCGTGAGCGCGCTTCTTGATTCTGGAATGAGCTTTATGCTAGGTATACTTGAGACCAATAACTTAGGAACCCCCCCCCCCCCCCCCCCCCAAAAAAAAGGTTCTAAACAGAATAGTTTTACTTTGCCTGAGGATATGCTATCTAGGTTTCAGAAATTTACCATACTGAAAATTCGTAGCGACGTTCTTTCAAAAAGAGAAATGTCATTTTTAATGCCCTCCCTTCACTGACAAGGTGACACACTGTTGGATTTCAGGATGAGGGAATGAGCGATGTTGAAAGACGGACTGAGAGGTTTGGGTAAGACCCTATGCATCATTGAGTTGTGGAGGATAATAAAAAGCAAGGAAAAATGATTAATAATTAATCTAGTATTATAATGCAATTATCTGGACCTTTTTATTATGCATTTAGAAATATAGTTGTTCTTTTGCGTTGATATGTGTAAAATGGTTAGTAAAAATGGAGTTCGCATTTTGTTACAGATGAATTTCTTTCTTTGGAATTGCGGCAAATGGATTTAGGTAGCGGTTGGGGCAAGCGTGTCCCCCAGACACATCTACATTATAATAAATCTACAGATTTATACCTTAAAATTGTATATAAAAATAATGTTCTTTTATGATATTTACATTATATATTTAACATATATGTGCAAATGTGACAGTTCCTTAACCATTTTTCTTTAAATTCAAGGTAATCAAAATGTATGCTTGGGAACCATTTTATACTGAAAAAGTATCATCTATTAGAACAAAAGAAATAGGAATTATCATCAAGCTGATAAAAGTTGCAGCCGGAGAAGTTGTCAATAATACCCTTACTCCATTCTTGGTAACTTTGTATTTTTTTTTCTTATGTTACAAATTACTTGACTTTTGTGGATGTATGTTTTAAACCTGTTGCATGTTCATTAGTTATTACATTTTTGCATAGTTTTGTGATCACCGATCATCCATAAAAAATCGGTCGTTGAAAACAAAGAAAAACCCTATTATTTAAATAAAATGACAGGTAGGTAAACGTCAATGAGACACCGACGATAAAAAATAACCGAACGAAAACTAGAGACATACAGTATTAAAAAAATTAAGAAGTCTGTATAATATGTTAAGTTCTAAATTGACGTGCGTCTATAAAGTTCATTCATTTCTTAGAACTGACATCAATGAATATAATTCATAAATACAATTGAACGACAACGGTTGACTGGGATATATAATTATGGCTTATCCTTTGTCTTCAACCGACGGGCGGTAAAACGCTCGCGGCTTCCGTTTGACTGCGGGATGTATGAAGAATTCACAGCCACGTCCGGTCAGAATGAGAACTTTAAATCCGATGCTCTCTGCACGTTAAGAACCTATGCAATAACCATTTGAGGGTCCATAGGTGGCCTGTTGCAAGGCAAATTTCTGTTCCTATCTAATATACTCTCAATTTTCCAATTTCCCGCCATTCATCCTGGTCGACCCCCTAACAAGACCTACAAATTAAATTAGTTGTTAATTTGTTCTCGTCCTGAAAATGCACGAAATATTTGCTACTGGACGTTAAGCAAACAACCATCAATCAATCAACCTAGCTACAGTTATCCTTTGGACGCATGACATTCATAAGGAGCCTCTGGCCTTTGTTAGTCTTGTATCATTTTTAATTTTAGTTTCTAGTGTATAATTTGGAGTTTAGTATGACGTCCATTATCACTGAACTAGTATACATATTTGTTTAGGGGCCAGCTGAAGGACGCCTCTGGGTGCGGGAGTTTCTCGCTGCATTGAAGACCCATTGGTGGCCTTCGGCTGTTGTCTGCTCTATGGTCGGGTTGTTGTCTCTTTGACACATTCCCCATTTCCATTCTCAATTTTATAATGAGTTATAATTATTTAGACCAATCATTGATTAGTTCAATTTACAATGTATAAGATGTTACTTATATATTTTTAATAGTTTTTAAACTTACAACTTGAAGATTGTTTGTCAGTATGTAATATTTACAAATGGAAATAAAAAGAAAAAGAAAATGAAAATAGTATTACTAGTATACACCAATATATCATTGATAATGAATTGTTGATTATAAAGTTCGGACACAATGTATTGGTTTTGGTGTTGAATTAGATTATTTGCATAATTTTTCAGATGAATTTTTTCATGGTGTTAATATACAGTTTTATTGCGGCTTATCCTTACGATGCAGAGAGAGCATTTCTAGCTCTTTCGGTTATCAATGTAGTTCGAAGTCCCTTGACACTGATGCCAATTGTTATTGGTGGGGTTGTTCAAGTGAGCATACCTTTTTTTTTTATTATTTAACATTTACAACACTGCGCATATTGGAACTTTATTTTCAAATTCACAAAAAACAACCTATCTATGACAAATCAAATTTTGTTCTCAGTCATCAAAATTTACAATTAAAAAAAAAAATTAAATTATAAAAAATGGAAAAACGTTTTAAATATTACATGTGCATATCTTTTAGAAGAAAAAGCGGTAACCTTTAACTGCAATTATTGAAATTCAGCCAATATTTAGGTATATTCCTTGTTTAGTATTCGTAAAACAGCACTTAAAATGAAATTACAATAAAACATATAGCAATGGATTTTTCCAGAATCTGTTTAAATGGTGGTTGTCTGGTAAAATAACACAAAGCATACACCATAATAGCATAACTTCAATGATAAATGACCTCTCAATATTCGTTGTTTATTTCATGTTTTCTATACCTATATTAATTAATAGTCTAATGAACATTACCCTTTCAACTTCGTCAGTTTTATTCTAAAGTAGTTTGCATAATTTTAGACAGTTGTTTCACTTGGCAGAATACAATCTTTCTTGCTATCTGACGAAGTAAACTACAGTAATGTCGACCATGTATCAGAAACAGGTATGGTATATTAGGTTAATAATAAAAATTCGCCCATCAGACAATACGAGTCTTTGTCCACATTTGTATTTTTAAAAATATGATATACATGTATTTCGTCGTATAATGTAGTGGATATAGATCCACAAACATATCTACATATTTAGATAATACAATGTGTTACAAATAACATACGTTAATTTACATACATTAAAAAATGCAAATAATTGGAACGTGACTATAGATGTATCTTTTTTTATTAACAATTAATAATTGGAATAATTGAAGAATGTTCAATTTTCCATTCTTGTGATACATGTTATTATTTGTTTATCTTTAAATACGATAAGATGTCGTGCTTTAGAAAAAATTCATTATACACAAAATTGTTCTTCATCAGACTTTGCAAACACGTTTTGATGTCGTTTCGCAAACGCCCGTATTAACTTATAATAATATTTCTCAGAACACCTGTTTTAACTAAACCGTTTTTTTTATATTGTCCCAGTTGCTCTGTTTCATTTTCCTAAGTTGTGTTTTATTCACTTCTTTAATTTCACGCTTAGATATATTGATTGCAATAGTGCTTGCACATCCGATATTCCAGTAAACATGTCATTTGGGATACTACCGAAAGTAGAAGGTCAGCTTCATATCTAGAGATATCTTCTTGAAATTGACACATAGCGACGACTTCAAACTATGATGAATAAAATATAGTTTATCCGGGTTTATAAGATTCTAAAATTATAGAAATCTCATCGCAAACGAAATGCATGCAATTGTACGGATATTACAAACAGTTAGAAATATATTGTTAGAAAGACATATACTTCATCTTTTCCCAGACTGCGCTATTTACATGAAAAATGGTTTCTTCAAGTGGGACAAAAGAAGCGATCAAAATACTTTGAAAGGGTAGGTGATGTTTATCGACTGACATGTTATAGGATTCAACTATTATTTTTCTAGATTGGTTAAATGTTGGTTGCTTAACATCCAGTGACAAATACTTCATACATATTCATGATGATATTTTTTCAACGTGCTATTTATACTTTGACTTGGGCCGACTATTCTGAATAAATTTATATGTAAAGTTAGTGAGTCAGCGGCCCAGGCCGTTTACACATGAACAATCTCTAGAAAAAATGTTTTTAATCCTATAATATTTCAATCAATTATTCTCATCCCCAAAAATATTATTTTTTTCTATCAATTTTCCCTTGATTTCATTCATGCTTATCGCGCATAGACTACGGAAGTGGTTTCTTAAACATGGTCTATGGAAGAGTAAAGCAAGTGAAATTATTTTAAAGGACAAAACTTATTCAAGAATTTGTAGATATGCAAATTACAAAATAATTAATTGAACGTAAAGTTATTAGGACGAAAAAACAAAATGAATTCATCCCTAACTAGAGCAAGTTTAAAAGGTTACTGCAATAATGTAATGATTTAACGGAAACAAAAGAGTAACTTTGAAATCTGTTGATAATTGATATTGTTACATTGTAAGTTTTCAAACACATTATAAGAGGGCGTTATTTTTTCATGATTTTATGAACTGTACATCAAAATTATATTGGATAATTATTTTCGTGAAATGCAAAAGACTTGTATTACGACACGAGTAGAGAGTCAAAGTCTGACATGCATATTCATGACTTTCAATCAAAAATTAAAGAAACTGTCTCGAATATTATGGCATCGCAATATCAATCATTCGTTTACCAATAGTGTAAAAATAATGAGATAATGTATGAGACAGCTAGTCGCCGAAGACATAAACTGTTTCCCATGTCAATAGGTTCCACTGTAATGGGGAATATTGTTTTTTTTGTAGTTAAAAAAGTAAACGAATAAAATGATGAAAAATTGTTTGAAAAAGATAGATATAAAAAAGAAGATGTGGTATGATTGCCAATGAGACAACTCTCCACAAGGGACCAAATGACACAGCTAAAGGTCACTGTACGGCCTTCAACTATGAGCAAAGCCCATACCGCATAGTCAGCTATAAAAGGCCTCGAAATCACAAATGTAAAACACTTCAAACGAGAAAACTAACGGCCTAATTAATGTACAAAAAACGACACAGCAACAAACGACAACCACTAAATAATTCATTATTCCTTTGCAAGCCTACCCTAATCGGAGAATATTGTTTGAAAAGATTAATATTCATAATTATATGCAACCATACCCAAATTAGAGACAAGAAACAATTGTAGCGTAATAACAAGGGATATGTTAGATGAACTGTCCATCTATTTCTTTCAATAACAAAAACTTGTCGAAGCTCAAACTAACCTTTTGGCGAGGAAGTCTTTAATAACATACATATTTATAAAAAAGTAAAATTACAAAAATACCGATCGCCAAGGGAAATTCAGAACAGAAAGTCCTTTATAAAATGGCAAAATCAAAAGCTCAAACACATCAAACGAATGGAAAACAACTGTCTTTCTGACTTGGTACAGGTATTTCCTTATATAGAAAATGGTGGATTGAACCTGGTTTTATAGCTAGCGAAACCCCTCACTTGTATGACAGTCGCATAAAATTCCATTATATTGACAACAATGTGTGAGCAAAACAAACAGACATAATAGGTAAAAATGTCAAAACTTGGGGTACAGCAGTCAGCATTGCAATATAATCTTAATCACTATAAAACAAATAACTATTTCAACAAAGAAAAACAAAATGGCATATAGACACTCTATAGACAAATTACATAAGCAAAATGAAAGACAAGAAAACAAAATTGACCATGGCACAATAACACAATGGCGGGATGGAGAAGTACGCCAGAAATATATTACCAAGAATGGACTAAACAGTATAAAGGTTAAAAATGTACAAGGACAAATAAAAAGACTACTATTACTATTAAGATTATAAACAACGTCAGTACATAGAATCTATACTTCAAGACCATCATGTATTATTTGTGAAGTTGACACGGAATATTTATCAACAAGACCTTGGTATATTCCAATGAACCTTAAGAGAAAAAGGAAGAGACTTCTTTGACGTAACCTTGGCTCATCAACTTTCTGCTCAGACACTGTTGACGTTTTATAAAGTCTTAGTAGAAGCTGCAAGCTCTTGAATATCGAATGTGGAAATGTATATCCCATATGCAGGTGAAGTTGGCAGATATATTGCTGCTAAGGTGGGGGAAATTTATATTTTCAAAATTAAAATCGTCTCGTTTGTCATAGATTCTGGTACTGAGATGACTGCTTATGTCAAATTTGAGGTATAAGTCTAAAAATGAGACAGCGAAAGCCGTGCGTGTAGTTTCTTTAATTTCTAGTTATGGAGGGTATATTAATGGAACCCAATCAGAAAAGTTTGGATTGTTAATGGAAAGAACATCATCAGTATATCTGAATGTGAAATTAAATGATCTGGTTTCTTTGATCTTCTTGTTTTATGACAAGTGTCTGAAGGAACTCCGACTCATATGAAAATAAGAAGAGGTCGACAAGGAGAGGTGCACAGTTTGTTCCCATACCAACAATTTCTTGAAAAAATCTACCTCCAAATTCAACAAATATGTTGTCAATAAGAAACTACAGCATACTGATCACGTGTGCCTCTTGTGTAGAATGTTTTACCTTTTTGTTCAGTATTAACAAAATATGCCGTATGGTATCCCAAAGCAATGAATTTATAGCGTATTCTACCATTTTTATATTGAAAAGTATTGTGGATTATTTCTTATAGACGATTTTTCAATTTCACACGGAGAATGGTGGTATACAGGGTTGAAAAATCAAAAGTTTTGATATAAGTAATTTCAGAGAAAAACCGAGATTAAAACTTATAAAAGGTCCAAAACTATAATCAGATCTTTAAATATTGTTTTATTGGTATAACTATTGATTTTGTAAAAGTAAATTAAAACAACACTAAATATTATTGTTATATTCATTATTGTACATTCACGGTTCTACAATTTGTCGATACCTGTATCTTGGCATTGCACAAGGTCATGTTTTTTTTTCTGATTGTTAACACCATCTTTACACTCAATTGGATTCTTAATGCTTACTGATTGATATTTTAGTCTTAGATACATGATTTTTTTTATAAGTTGTTATTTGCTTTGAACTAGCTTTCAGTAACTGCGAGTACTCTCAGATCTGTACTTCGTGTTTTTGTCGTTGTTGGGATGTATAAATTCTGTGCCACGTCTGCTCTGTGTTTTCGTTAGCTGTTTTTCTGCTTTGTTTCGATCTAATTAAATAAGCACGTTTCAACTGATTTTGATAGTTTGTTCTTATGTTGAACTGTTACCACACTGTACAAGTCCAAGGTTAGGGGGTGATTTGGCGCCAACAAACAAGTTTAACCCAGCCACATTCTATATGAGCCTATACCAAGTCAGGAGCCTGAAATTGAGTGGTTGTCGTTTATTGCTGTTTCTCATATTTGTTTTTTGTTTATTGTTTTGCGTAGTTTGTTCTTGTGTTGTACCATTACACCACTGTCCCAAGAGAAGGTTGGCGTTGTCAAACATGTATACCCCCTCCCCACATTCTGCTTATGTCTGTCACACGTCAGTAGCCTGTAATTCAGTGGTTATCGTTTGTTGCTGTATATTATATTTGTTTTTCGCTCATTGTTTTGTAAATAGACCAAGCTGTCAGTTTTCTCATTTGATCCTTTCATGACATTTTAGAGCTGACTATGCGGTATATGTTTTGCTAAATGTCGAAGGCGTTGTGGTAACATATTGTTGTTAACTTTATGTCGTTTAGTCTCTGGTGGAGAGTTGTCTCATTGGCAATCATATCACATCTTCTCATTTTTGTGTGTTCCAATTTTAGAATAAATACTAAATTTGAAGAAAGGAAATTAATTGCTGTTGTCGGAATAGTTGGATCTGGAAAATCTTCACTTATATCAAGCATACTTGGGGAAATGGAGAAAACAAAAGGAAAAGTACAAGTTGCGGTATAGAATAGTATATATAAAAAGCTATACTATGGAAAAGTCTTTCTACTTTTTACAGAAAAAATCTCTATGTATAAAAGGATATGTGGACATACGTCAATGGCAAAAACCAACGACACAAAAGCAAAAAATGCATCTAGAGTCAACATATTTCCATCTTCGACAGGTGTCTGTACAGTTTTTCAATTTCTAAATCTCTAAAAAGTCTGAAAAGTTGTGCAAAAATACACGTTAACGATTAAAATCATTAAAGCAGATTTATTCTATAATCAGTTATTTCATTGAACATACTTTCATTAGCAAATTCTATATTCGAAAATGAGTTTTAATCATGCTAAATCAATTTAAAAACTTAAAGAAACTTTTGGAGAAACATCTATCCTTAAACACTACAAGGTATTTATACATAAATGGAACAGAAAATAACATCATTAAGATATTGGGTCAAGTCAAGGATCGACCCCGCACTCAAGGCTAGCACGCTGTCACGTGATCACAAGGTGATCGTTCGTAATAAATACAATTGACATAACTAAGCAATGGAAATAATACTTACACATAATACTGATCAGATCGTAAAAGGAACAAAATGCGAATTATCAATACTTCCTGACACTGTCTACAAATTAATTCAGTTAAGATACACACATAAAAAAGATGTATTTTGCTAATATGTGTCGTTTCAACCTACATCTCCGTTTATTCATTGACCCTTTTTTCAGGGATCTATTGCCTATGTAACACAGGAAGCATGGATACAAAATATGACAATAAAAGAAAATATTTTGTATGGGAAACAATACGATGAGAAAATGTACAGCAGGATAATCGATTCTTGTTGCTTAAAGCCAGACTTGAAAAGTCTACCAGCAGATGACTTGACAGAAATTGGAGAAAGGGTAGTGTTTATTATTAAGTTTGCTGTTCTTTGCATTATTCAGATATGAAATAAAAGAACTGCTTTCAGTCAATACTTGCTACACTAAAACATTTACATTTTCGCTCACCTCTAAACAGAAATATTGGTCAAAAGAAAAATGAAGCAATAATAACAGCACTTACACCTTTATAAACATGTGGCTTCCTTTAATTAATTAATTCATTCTCAATTTTCAACATAAAAGAATTGTATAGCATAAGCATTGCTTTTTCGGTAATAGTACGTTTCTAAAATTATTTCAGAAATTTCAGCTGTTTCGGATATGATTACGTACCCTTAAGAGGGAAGTCAGAAATGTACAAAAACTGTAAATTAATTATTTATTAATAAATGTTGATATTTGATAAACATCACTGAAACAGCATATAAAAAAATAATAACAGAAGAGATTTTTTTTTATAAATCAACATAAACAACATAGGTCTTCAACATGAGGCAAATCTCTATAATAATTGTGCATGTAACGCTCTGAATATCATAGAGTCTACACAAGTTGTAAATAAATTTTACAAACCCAACTGATGAGGAAAATCTCAATAATGTCTATGCATGTAACACTCTGAATATCAAAGAGTCTATGCAAGTTTTAAATAAATTTTTCAAAACCAACTGAATGAACAAATGTGACAAAGTAGATATGGTCAATTTTCCCTTTATTCATTTCATTGTTAGTTGGTAAACATCAGGAAGCTGTCAAACTACTGGAAATTAATTGTTAAAGTGTTATAAAAATGTACTTAAAAGATTTAAAAAAAACATTATTGGACAATTATATTCATAAATAAAATGTTTATAGTGAGCACTACACATTGATATTAAAGAACATTTTGATACAGTATTGCAAGTTTAAAATGTTATGCAAAATTTTCCATCGTACGGCATCTTCAACAAAAGTTTGTTTATTTGCACCTGAAAGACAAAACACTGTTTCTTTATCTCCAGTATAATTTTGGTTTTGACTTACAATGTCCCAATATTTTCTTTTTTGATTAATAATAAATAATTTCCAAAATCTATTACAATTGCTACGGGTTCAATCCATCTTTAGGCATTTTTAAGTTGTCAACTGACAAAATTTAAGCTAGGATATTTTTAGAACCTCAAAGAAAATACATAAAGCTTAACTGCTGTGAATTTTAGTTATGATTGAAGTTTTAGTAATAACCCTGGCGTGAAATACATTCAAGGGAATTGGCCTTGCTTCTTTTACAAAATAAAAGCCACAAAAAACAAAACAGATATAGAGGGTCACTGTAAGGTTTCGATCAATAGCCAACCCCAAGCCAGGAACAAAGTCTTAAACATGTTGACGATAACATCTAAAAACTGATGACATCTTTTGGTCAACATAGATTTATATCCCATATTTTAAAACGCAGGGTATCAATTTAAGTGGTGGACAAAAACAGAGAGTGAATGTAGCTAGAGCTGTTTATGCAGATGCCGATATCTATCTGTTTGATGACCCTTTGAGTGCTGTAGACGCGCATGTCGGTAGAGATTTGTTTCACAATGTAATAGGACCAAATGGGCTTTTAAAGAATAAGGTTCGATATAAGTATGCCTTGAAGTATGCAAAGTAAAATTTCTCTGAAGTTTACTTTTTGTTGATAATAAAGATGCACGTGTTACATAATCAGCGAGGTATAAATGTAAATGATAATGAAAGCTTCACATATTCTTAGTAGATTTACAATATCCATGTTGTGCTAAAGGCTTTTTAGGTATCAGATTAAATACGTAATATGTGCAACTCATTATTAATCAAATTAATATAAACATTTTCATATTAACATCGACCATACAAAATGCTTTGCTCCTCATTTACTTGTAATGTTGCATATATTTTCTAGTTATTGCTTTCAAATCAATCTTTTAAAAATGTTCATTCGTACTGTACCAGTTTATCCAAGTTGAATGCCACTATGTGTCGTAAAGATTATTTTTATTATTCATTTTGTTACTAATGAAGGTATGAAAAGATGTTATTCTGGTTCGTGAAATTACAAAAAAAAACAAAACAAAACAAACCAAAACAAAAACAAAAACTAACACACACAAGTAAATATTTCACAATTCCGTATTCAACATCTACTATGACCATCTTGTTTGTTAGAAATATTACATAGATAACTTTTGGTTGGCAAAAAAGGTTAAATATAGCTAATCTCTTTCACACTTTCTACAGCCTTTATAAGTAAAAAAAATTGTTTTAAATGATAATTGCTACCAAAAAGTGGCGGAATTTCGCTATCCTGAAACAAAAGCTTATTTCTAGGGTTTTTTTTTCACAAACAAAAAACAGAAAAGATCGAACAAGCAGAGTACATCAATCAATCGAGGATTAAGTCGTGATAAGGTAATCCGGCAGGGCAAGCAGTTCCTATTCTACTTGATACCCGTTGTGTTGCCATAGAAAAGTAAAGTAGCCTAGTAAGTTGCATTTAGTAATATGATCTAAACGACGGGAAAAGGAAGGGATATTAGAGATGACTATACAAGAACATAATTATTCTTATCCATTTGAGTGGCAGAATCATTCCATAACGTCCAACCAAGACATGATGGTATCGGAGACAATGTAAAACTGAAAAATTATTACTAAGTTACTAAAATTGCAATCATAATGTTTCAATGTTTGTTACAAGTACATCAAGTTTTCGTTATTGCCATTGGCATTAAACCATTAATTTCAGAGTAAACTTTAATATTCTGTAGACGAGAATATTAGTAACTCATGGTGTGCACTGGCTACCTCATGTAGATAGAATTGTAGTTATGGATAATGGCCAGATATCTGAGGAAGGAACATTTGATGAACTTGTGGCTCATAACGGACCATTTGCGCAATTCCTTAAACAACATCTGGCCACAGAAGAGCTATCTGATGATGACGACGAACAAAGTAAGTTAGTTGATACTTACAGTCTTACACAGTGACTTTTGTGTAGTTAAAAATGTTTGAACATCACTTCAAACTATTATCATTGGCATGACTTAATTTGTTCCAGGCGATGTTGTCAGATTAGTTTGTTTGTTTAAATTTTTTAAATCAGTTGTCTTGTATGTCATTGCTGTTTGTTTACACAGTTTTTGCTGCTGGATCCCAATTATTGTCACGTTAACCAACTATGTCCGTTTGGGTTGCGCCCCCGATTGTGTCAATAAATCGGAACTATAAACTGTCATACAAGTAATAGGATTAGCTATAAAACAAGATTTAACCCACCATTTTCTTCGGAAAATTCCTGTACCAGGCCTGGAATATAACAGCTGTTTTCGTTCCATTGGTTGATAAAGTCGAGCGTTTGATTTTGTCAGGTTTTATAGACTTTTATAATGTCTTACTTCTTGCAATATATGAATACAATTACTAAAATGGTAAAAAACTTTGAAACTGATGTTAAGGTCAAATAACACCTATCAGATTTACATATATACTCCCTAAAATGAATTCATACTAGCAAACATATTGTTGAACTATCATGATTTAGATATCGATTCTGACAATAATGTTTGTTTTAAAACTTAAATTTGGCCACTATAAGGTTATATGATATCAAACCTATATAATATATGACCACGTATGGTGTTGTCAGCTTTGCGTCGGCTCATGGTTTTTAAATGTCATCTTGGTAATTTCTCTGATTTTTAAACAGTCAAACAGATGAAAAATGAAATGTTTGACAGACTGGAACACCGTGCATCTGATGTGATGACATCTAACGAGGAAGAAAGACAAATCAGAGAAATAATACAGCGACAATCAAGCATGTAAGATAGGAATAAATAATGTTCCGAAGACACCATGGTGTATATTTTTATTGAAATCATTTGTAAGGATGGGCCAACGGGGCGATGATCATATTGGACTGTGACGTCATGAACATGGAACGTTTTGTATAAAACATTTCAAGACCATAAAATTTTATTAATCTCTCTATGTAATTCGGATTAAGGCAACTTCAATTAGGAAATTTGAAGTATTTTTGTGTTGTTTAATTTCACACGGATAATTCAACATGGCTTAACATATTGTTAGTTTTTAATGTAAATACAAGTAAAGATATATGATGCATTCAGATGAAGCATACGTTTAACAAAATCAATATTTTGTGGGTTTTTTTATCATATTGAATTGCCCTTAATTTGACGTAAGAAGTCTGACAATTCTGAAAATTGATCGCAAGCACTTTTCTCTAAACAATATACATATATACCGTTAATTAATAGTAAAAGGATGTACAGTATTTGTTTCAGAGACATGCCAGTTAAATAACAGGTTTTAAGGGACTGGACTGTAATTGATAACTTTACAAGGATAAATTAAATAATTAAAGACGCAAACCCTTTCGGCGCTTATAACGGACGGACGGACAGTGAAAGGAGATGATATATAACACATCTTTTGACAGGTACATGTTACTAAATTTGCTATATTCATTTGCACTCTCTTTATTTTAAGTATACTATTTTACCCTTAAGATTTGTATGCACTTAAATTGCAGGTACAAAATCTTGTATAAATGTATGGAAACTGAAATTTACATTGAAAGCTTCAATTTTAGATTTCCAAAACCTGATATAAAACCAAGATTTACCGGTTCAGACGGTATTTAAATGCACGAAGGATTCTCAAACGCAATGACAAAGGAAAGAAAACCTGAATATTTCGAATCAATTTCATATTGGTGATCATCGCTACCTTCATTGTGTTTATCTGTATATTTGTATCTTAATGATCTCAAAGATGTTAGATTTTTCGAATTTGTCTATATTCATGAACCGTATATCTTTTTTGTTGGCCAGAATGTTTACGTTTCTTTATATCACAGCGAAAAAAAAACCAACATGGAGGGATACGTTCAAGAATAGTTTGTATATTGAAAATCGAAATTTCTGCTGGTAAATATTTTCCATTTTAGTAAATACATTTTTTCTTTGTACCATTGTTATAAGAAAGATTTTGAAAGAAAAACCGACATGGTTAGAAAATACAAATAATATCACCATTACAAACACAATTCCATTTTAATATTCTTGTCATGGTTAGAAAATACATAAAATAACACCATTACAAACTCAATTACAATTTAATATTCTTGTACGTGTCTATAAATAAAACAAATCTATTTTTTTATTTTTAGAAATTTACCTGTGATAATATAAACGTCACAAAAAATACGTCACTTTTTGTGACGTTGATCAATTCATGTGACGCAAAGATTATATTTCGTTTGTGGTGTCCTGGTGTGTTGTCGTAAATTCATGAGAAGTGTCCGTTGTTATTCTGCGGTTTACTTGTTTTAATGTATTATTATGTTATTTTTTTATATATTTCTCTGTGCTGAGTGTTCCTGCGTTTGTTTTGTACTGTATTCCTGTAACGTAATGTTGTCATTTTAGCGGTACATTTAACATTGCCATATAAACGGGAGCTTTGGTTAGCCATAAAACCAAGTTCAACCCACCATTTTTTCTTAAAATGTCCTGTACCAAGTCAGGAATATTACAGTTGTTATCTACAGTCCGTTTCTATGTATGTTGGCGTTTGCTTTTGTTGTAGTTCAATGTTTCTGTTGCTCCGTTGTTTTCCTCTTATAGCTGATGTGTTTCCCTCGGTTTTAGTTTGTTACTCGGATTTGTTTTTGCTTAATCGAATTATGACTATTGAACAGCGGGATACTAATGTAGCCTTTATTTATCTTAGATATATTTGTAAAACTTTCACCTTCTGTAAATCATGAAATATAAAACAAAAGTATGTTCGAACATTCACAATAATATCATTTTCGCCCAACCAGACAATAGATCCTCGGCTGTGTTGAAATAAACGAACAAGTCACTTATACTTTGCGTTGTGTTACTTTATAATCAAATCTATACAAAAGTACAAAGTAACGTCATAAATATGAGACCTAAAATACGGGAACCTAAATACATAACTTGCACTATATTCTTAGCATCGAAATTGTTCAAGCAGTTATCATAGTTTAACATCATTTGGATCAAATGTTACCATATCGAAACTATACCGACCACGTCGGAAAAAAACCTGTTGTTATCATTAAATCTTAACAGTTCAGTATAAAGTTATTTCATGTTAATTTAGAACGAGTGGGACTTTAGTAAAAACCCTAATAGAGATAATAAAAATAATGTTTGTCGTTTAATGTCATTATAAAAGTTAAGGCGGCGAAGTCATAATAATGTTTACTGCGATATTGTCAAAATTAAACGATAAAATGACATATCTGATTCTGAATGTTGATTTTTTTTACAGTAGAAGACGTTCCTCACGGCTCAATAGTTTAACATTCGAAAAAAGCAAGTCACTTTCTTCGAGCTTTCATCATGCAAATCAACTATTAGGAGACCAGGGAAAATTAATTCAGGATGAAGAATCCCAAGTTGGATCGGTGAGCAGAAATCAAAAAGATAACATATGTTTCTTAAAGTTGAAAGATGTTGCACCTCGTCAGAAAATATAGTCTTGTGTATTTTAAACATTAAAGTTATTTATACGAATTGTTTACACGAATGTGTCTAAACTAACTAACGACATTTTTACCACGTCTTATATTGTGGTTTACCATCTACGTCGTCTATCTGCTTAGTACTAAACGTGACCTATTCATGAATATGACTGTTTTGCCGAGTGTGAATTCACATTGCTTTACGACGTGTCTCGGTATTTATATATCCACGTTCATGTATTTTGTTATGATGTTTCTTTTGTAAGTCCTGTTAGACATTTTGTTGTCTTATGTTCGCTGTTGGAGACAACGTGGTTCGGTATTTATATATCCCACTTTCGGGCATTTTGTTGTTACTTTCTTATACGTGTTGTTCCGGTGGGTCGTTTTGTGCTGAGTTGTTGTCTGTTTATTTCGTTTGTGGTTTGAATTCTGTATTTTCGGTACATTTCACATATGTTTTATTTGTCAGTATAGTCGAGTTACTCGTTGTTCATTACAAACTCAATCCCAATTTATATTCTTGTACGTGTCTATAAATTAACAAAATCTATTTTATTTTTAGAAATTTACCTGTGATAATAAACGTCACAAAAATACGTCACTTTTTGTGACGTTGATCCATTCATGTGACGTGCAGTTTATATTTCGTTTGTGGTGTCCTAGTGTGCTGTCGTAAATTCATGGGAGGTGTTCGTTGTTATTCTGCGGTTTACATGTTGTAATGTACTATTATATTATTAATTTATGTATTTCTCTGTGATGAGTGTTCTTGAGTTTGTTTGTACTATATTCCTGTCACGAATGTTGTCATTTTAGCGGTATTTTTAACATTGCCATATTAGCGGGAGGTTTGGCTAACCATAAAACCAGGTTCAACCCACCGGTATTTTTTAAAATGTCCTGTACCAAGTCAGGAATATGGCAGTTGTTATCACACAGTCCGTTTCTATGTATGTTGTAGTTCAGTGTTTCTGTTGTTCCGTTGTTTTCCTCTTATAGATGATGTGTTTCCTCGGTTTAAGTTTGTTATCCGGCTTTGTTTTTGCTTTTTGGAATTATGACTATTGAACAGCGGTATACTATTGTCGCCTTTAGTTAGCAAAGAAATTGCATTAAGGGTGATAATGAGTCATTTTTTTTATAACTTTTAAGAAATTTTAACTAATTATCACACCGTAACGAATAATTATCGTTTCTGAAGGCTATAGGTCTCTGTCAGTCCCTGTTTGCACCATTTATCTAGTATTTTTTTTTTAAATATAATATTATTCTAAAGTATACATAAAACATGTCATAAGGATTGTAAAATGATTTAGAATAACAGAACAAAATCAATTGGATATAAGATGAAATGAAACTTAAAAGGAAACCAAAACCCTTTCAATATTAACTCTGCTTGAGAAAGTTACAAACCTCTAATTTAATTTTTGCTAGGATTACCAAACTTAGCATCATGAATTCATCAAAAAGTACGGAATTAATCGTCATCAATTCCGAAAGTTAACTAAATGAGCGCAATGTGCATTTCTAGGTTTCACTTCATAAGGATGACAGACATATCAAAAGTCGTCTTTCGAAACATGTAGTTGAAAAGGTCGAAGGAGAACCGTAAGACAATATATCAAAGTTGGAGACTCTGTAGTTAAAAAATGAAACACACTTACTTTTGTCTTAATCTTTATAACTTCTTCCAATGGTGAAAACAAAACCACGTTACTTAACAACGTTAACTGTATAGTACTTATGTTCTTTTTGCAGGTAAAAACTAGTGTATTCATTACATTTATTAAAGCTATGGGTATATCGACGATAGTGGCTGCATTTGCCATGCTCTTTATATCCCAAGCTTTACAAGTATATTCCAATTTTTGGATTACATACTGGACAAGTGACCATTATCTGAAGAATGAAACATTAGTGCAGACTGATGAATATTCAAAAACACAGTTTTACTATTTAGGAATGTACGGCTTATTTGGAGGTTTGCAAGGTAAGCTCAAGAAGATGTTTTACTTGTGTAGATTTAAATACAAGTCTTGTTAAAAAAAAGGTTATTAGAGTTAAAATTAAAGACCATGACAGTTATTATATTTTCCAAGAAAAAGCAGGTGAAAAAATCACCAAAACACAGCAAATCATATAACACAACACGTGTTTGAAATGTGACTAAAAAAGTACACGCAAATGGTATATGGCAACCACAAGAGGTACCCAAAAACACTGGAAGTGAAATATGGTGTTATTCCGTCCTGAATAAATGCAATGACTTTGATTGCAAAATACTCGCACTTTTATGATGAACTTCATGAATATCTTAACATTCGATATTTATGAAAAGGAAAAGAAAACGTTAACAATCCCAACACTTGTATTCCATGAGACAATATCACACACATGTGGTTTAAAATATTTATAACATTATCTAAGCGTTATATAAAAACTTTCCACAAATGGGAGAAATACCTTGGAATGTTGTCTGATATTCGCAAGATAAGATGTAGATTGGTTTGTCCATAAATTGCATTAAATGAAAAGATCTTTCTTTTATAGGGTTGACTTTGTTTCTTTATGGAATGTTTCTCTTCGCCGGATTCGCAAATGCCTCATCTAGTTTACACCAAAAAATGTTACGCTGCATAATGCATTGTCCAATGTCATTTTTTGATACGACACCTGTCGGTAGAATCATCAATAGATTTTCTAGCGATATTGATGTAATCGACGAACGGTTTCGGCGCTATTCGAACTTTTTTATTGGAATGCTGACAACATTATTGTCTATCGTAATTGTGATCGTCATCCAAACACCGTTAGCCTTAATCGCTGTAGTCCCTGTGTCTGTGTTGTTCATTCTTCTCATCGTAAGTAAAATCTAACACAGTTTTGAATTATTATATATTATTGTACATTTTTGGAAGTTCGGGAGATTTAATCATACATTTCTATTTGTAATAAGTTTTTTTAACGTTGTTCTAATGTAATTTTTGCAGTACTATGTTTCTCATCTGGTTTCTTAGTGAAGCAGATTTATATATTAATTGTTGGATTCGTTCTTTCGTTTCCCCGTCAGCAATTTGTATCAGCACCTCTACCTATACAAGTGACTGAATTTCGATAAGACTTTTACAGAATTTTTAGTATTCAATTGCATTATGTTTTTCCTTTTTTTTTTAAATTTTTTGATAGTACAAATTAAAGCATAGTATTGTGTTATCTTGTAGTCGAATGTGAACACTCTTCGTATTGAAATAGTTACACAACTACTTTTCGCTCGTTTTGTAGGAAAACTCTTAAGAGAAGTTCAAAAACAATGGAAAAGTCATTTTTATGACTGATGAGGTTGTGGAGATATGTTGCATTTTGAATTTGATTGTGTTGTAGACAAACATTGTCATAATGCTTTACTCGTAAGGCCAAGCTGGCAAAAACGAAAATAAGGTTAATAAAAAAATTTGGAAAATAAAATTATGCAAGATAACACTATCAGAACTCTCAATTGAAATATCGTAGTAATGATAACGGAATACAAAACATTATCGATTCCAGATGCGCATTTCAACATTTAATGTCTTTTCAGTGATGCTCGAGGCATTAAAAAATCCCCATCCCCCCCCCCCCCCCCCCCTCAAAAAAAAAATGAAGAGCTTAGAAACCAAAAATGACATAGTAGCTTTCTTAGTTCCTTGTGAGTGTCGTCCTCATTATAGTAGACCATATACATTAAGACTCGCCAGTGTGTATTTTCTATATTTCTAGATCGTAAAAAAAACAAATTATTGGTTCAATATATGTTTTCAAAAATCGGAACGTTTTGTTTTTGAAATTTTCAGACTTCAACAAAAAACTCGTCAATACATTTTGTTGTTTTACCTCAAAAGATTTATAGACAATGCAATGAAATACATCGTTGAAAACTAATTAAAAGGAGCTAATGTGATGTTTCGGTATTTTTTAGTAGTTTGCCGATGTTAAAATCTCATAAATCGACTAAGAAGACAAATCAAGATAGAAAACAAAAACTAAATGAATCGCATGAACTCCAAAGAGCGACACCGGATGTGTCAATGGATAAAGCGTCTCCTGCTATGCATGGATCATCTGTTACATTCAGCTTTAATGTCACAATTGGTAAAATAACAGATAAGACGACTTTTTTGGTATATAAAGATCATAGACTGGGAGAACAAGTCGCTAGACACAGACATGTCATACCGGACAGCCAATTCGAAGTCGTGACCGTACACCTTCTGTAGTGTCGATCTCAGTCGTTTTTTCCATAAGTCTGTTGGAGCAGTTTTGGTGTTAGGAGCGTTCTACTGCTAATGGAATCCATATAGTGTGAACATATACGAGCATAACTTATCAATTGAAATATGTAAACGTCATACGATGGGACAAAGGATATGTTACTGCTGAGAAATGGGAAGTTCATAATTGGAAAGTTGAAATCACCATATTTGTCATAATTTCTAGTTTGAAGAGTCCTTTTGCGTCAATATCGAGGGAAAGATCAAAATAGGAAGTAGACATTCTAGTTTCTATAGAATCCTGAATTTCAAGTTCACTGGGATACATGATATACAAGCACTCGCTGAAATGTGGGTGATTGAGTGACAGGAAATCATGAATATTCATATATCTTAAAGTGAAATAAAAGAACTTTGCTGAATGTTCTTTCCTTTTGTCTTTGATAAGGTTTGCTTATATACGAAGCTTTATACTATAAGTATCCATTGGAATACAATTCTATGTTGACATATAAAGCACCGAACTCAACAAATATGTTGTCGATTAAAATATCTAGCAAAATACTATAATCTACAGGACTAAATAATGATATTCGGGTTGTGCTGATAGCAGTGGTTAATTCTGTTATAAGCCTGATCCGTCCTATATTAACATGCTGACCTCTAAAACGATACTCAATTTTGGAAAGCAAGTAATAATAAACCATAATTGTTCGTAAAAATGTATGTCATCTTACATTTATCCCGATTTGCCCCGGGTTGTCTAAATGTGTGTATTGTTTTTGCACACTTCAGTGTGATTGTCGGTCTAAATTATGAACGAAAATGTTGGATTTTTTTTATTTTATTACTCCATGGCTTTGTTCATCAATTTACAGTTGTGGCATGGTCGTCAGTTTGCAAAATATTCCGCGTAAACCGGTGCTAGGGGCCGTCTTAAACTTGCAGTGAGATGAGAATTTTTTTCGTTCCATGTTGAAATCCTCACTGCGTTTTTGAGATGGAGAACAGAATAAAAGCGCTGTTCCTTTGCTTTTCGTGCTAATTGATAAGCATGTACTGATTTTGTGTAATAACGGATATCCCATATCCTTTCTTTTCTATTAAAAGTGAAAATTAAAATGACGAGTATACATTTTTTGTTTGATTTGGCTTTAAATCTGTTTTAATTCGAGCGTCACTGATGAGTCTTAGGAAGACGAAACGCGCTTCGGCGTACAAAATTTGAAGCCTGATGTCATTGATGAGTTTTTTTTTGTTATAGTTACATGCCTTTCTTACTATTTTGCCTATCGATATTGTTTTTGAAATGAGACCCACTATATCTGAATGTATCGATATTTCACTTCAATCTTGTCTTGTAGATTGTGTTAATTACATTTGTTTGTACCTGTCCTAAGTCAGGAGCATGTTGTTCAGTGGTTGTCGTTTGTTGATGTCGTTCATAAGTGTTTCTCTTTTTTTATATAGATTAGACCATTGGTTTTCCTGTTTGAATTGTTTTACACTAGTCATTTTGGGGCCCTTTATAACATGCTGTTTTGTGTGAGCCAAGGCTCCGTGTTGAAGGCCGTACTTTGACCTATAATTGTTTACTTTTTACACATTGTGACTTGGATGGAGGGTTGTCTCATTGGCACTCATACCACATCCTCTTATTTCTAATCAATCCACAACTTTAAGTATGTAAAAGGGGAAATGTTCCAATGGGAATTGTAAGTCAGGGGGCACAGAAACAATTTGAAATCAAAGACTTTTTTACGATAATACGATAATAACAGTTAGCAGAGGTGACATTTGAAAAAACTCAAAATCCGTCAATACTTAACAAACTATATAGTGTTAAACTAAAAGACAAACGAACTTTGTATATATAATTGAGCTAAATTATATGGCCTTCCAAATACCGGTTCGATTCCTAACATCACTGAAGAGACATTTATTGTCGAAATCCGGATATGGTGTACACATTTTTGCACCTCATGTTTGCGGTATACCATCTTTTCCGCAAGTTTATTGTTTTCTGTTTAGAAATAAATCAATAATAAGATCTATTTTGTTACATCTTGTGATCCGTTTATTTTGCAATCGCCAATGGCAGTCAGCAGGGTTTAAGAACGTCAGTTGTTCGACCTGCTAGTCAAATGCGTTTTGTTAAAATATACTTTTTCACTCATTTGGTCTTTTGGAAAATGTTGTTTGTGCTGTATTTAGACCCTCTACCAAGAAATTTGTTTTGCATGCACACGTAAAAATATTGCGGTTTTTATCCAACGCAATCATAGGTTTGAACGTTGTTTTCAATTTAGACTTGAATATATATATATATATATATATATATATATATATGTATGTATCCGAATGTGCACGGAAAATATGTCAGGTGAAGTTAAGCGAACCAGGAAAACGAATTTACGTGGTTCATTGGCAGCTTTCGTTTTATTTCTTAAAAAATGTCTGTCCCATAATACAATAAAAGAAAATAATAGATGAAAATGATATTGTAAAAAAAGTTAAACAAACTCAATGTTTTGCAGCGGTTTTATCTTCCAACGGCCCGCCAGTTGAAGAGGATAGAAGCAGTGACCAGGTCACCCATATTTAACTTCTTCAGTGAAACTATTAATGGAGCTAGTGTTATCCGTGCATACAAATCTCAGAACAGATTTGTTTATAAACTTTATAAAAGACTTGATATCAACTCTGGATTCTATTTTGCTGCTAATACGGCAATGGGGTAATTATAGGTGTTTAAGTCTTTTCTTCTAGAGTATTTTGTGTTGATAACAGTAAAGTATTAAAAATCTAAGCTGTTGAGAAATAAAAATGATTGAAATACCCAAAACATAAAGAATACCTGTTTTGTTTATATGTAAACAGTAACGATACAATTTAAAAATAATTAAATCAGGTTAGGAGGTTATTATTTGAATGAGAAGTGGTGGTCTTGATACTTGAGCGAATTAACCTTTTCAATACCTTTTTTCTTCAAATAGATTTAATTTCAAATATTTAACTCTCACAGTGCTAAAACCATTTAAAAGACTTCCATATCACTTTTTATATCATTATATACAACTAAAATTCCTTGCTTATCTCTTTCATATATATTTATTCGCACAGGTAAATGTACTTGATCCCACTTATTTTTCTTTTAACGTTTATCGCCATCAAATTCTTTTAGCTTTCGATAGAATTTAATATACCAATATTTAGGACTCACTTTATGATAATTGACTAAAATATTTTTCATCTTAGATGGGTAGGCGTTCGAATACAGAGTTTTGGGAATCTAGTTGTTTTCGCTGCGGCTTTATTTGCTGTTTTGTCTGAAAACCTTAGTGGTGCTGATGTAGGATTATCTCTGTCATATGCAATGCAGGTACGAGTTAGAAACTACAAAACTAATTTCTCTTCAATACAAAAAGGCAATACAAACTGAATGTATCACAAAAAAATGATTAACAAAAATGCCGTACACCCTAGGTATCATACAGATATTGAAAAACAATTCTTACATAGCAAACGTTTTAAAAGAACATTCAAATTCTTACTAAGTGCACAAGGCACAATATCTACAAGTCAAACGGAATTAAAACAGAAGCCAGAGCCAGAGAACGTCTAAATTCAGCAAGACATTTATCTCGTTCCTTGAAATCTGCAAACTGACTTGAAGTGAAAACAAAATAATCGAACTTCTGCGTAATTAACACAATAACGGATTACATTAATCTAATGATACAAGAATCAAAGGTATGGAATCCATTATTGTTGAATTTTCTACCATAAACGTGTTGAGCACGTCATTTATTAGGTCCTTTTTAGTGGCATTAACGAGCAAAATCTTGCCACTGACTTTTTGACATGTAACGCGTCTGTGAATAATAGACGAGATCAAGAGTTTGGCTATACAGAACCACAATCTTGCGGAACTAATGGCTCAATCAGTGATGTATGGACTTGGATGAAAATAAATGTAATATGTTGATAGTACAATTTGTTTCAAAAATTAAAGTTATCTGGTTAATACAAATTTATAGAGACAAAAGAAATTGTCGACCGGCTTTATTTAAACAAAGATTTCAAATTTAAACAAATACTGATTTCAATAGAGGTTATGTGATAAGTGTTTGAGGACATACAGACCAAGACCATTGAAGCAGTACAGCTAAAAGCATCTGCGTCATCGTAGCATTGAGTAGTTGCAACATTAATTTTAGATCAATTACATAACTTATACACGAAAATGTACTATAAAAATATATCTTTTTAATATGACCAGTACCGTCGCACTGACTGCAAGCTACTTTTTGTTTATTTTCGATTCTAAAAAATCAAATAACTTGATTATCAAGTTGAAATTGTTTTCTTTAAAGATAATGATGACAATGAATGCAGTTATGCAGATTCTTAGTTTTCTCCAAATGGATTTGATCTCAATAGAGAGAGTAGATGAATTTACCCACCTTGACCCAGAGGTAAATAGTTTAGTATTGTAAACTTAATTAGCAACATCATCTAACAAACAAATATATCTTATACCATTCATTTTAAGCATATAATACTTCAAATTGTGTTTCTTATTGTTTTAGATTAAGGCTTACATCAATGTTAGAGCAGTCTGTTCGAACACTAGAGACTGCTTCATTTTATGTGACAATACTAGTACATGTAGTTAGATATGATACACTGTCTTCGCTTGATATTTCCTTGGAGTAAAAATGCATGTGAAACTGCTTATCATATCTATTAAATGATAAAGTATAATGTCATTGTGATGACATACGTGTATCACAAAGTCCGCCATTTTCTTGAATTTTAAATATTATTATGTACTCTGTATTTTTGAAGTTAAACTAAACCTTTACATTACGTCTAAGCTATAAAAAAGACATTTATCATGTTTATAGTGACACTTCTTTAGAAATACGTAGAATAGGTGTTCTAAGAATAATTTAACAATAGGCATTTACAAAAAGAAGGTTTATACGTATGTACATTTTGTCTATTTGAGGCTTCCGGAGGGCAACTTAAGTTATTCTTTGAATCACTACTTGTATTATCAGACATACCTATCTAAAATGACCGATCAAACAATTGATTACGTCCCGTTTACTAGGAAAAATATCAATAAAATAAATATCTCAATGTTACATACCTATATGGAGTTATTTTCTTTCAGAACGATAGGTCTTTCTTTAGAAGAATCAACTCGGACGATACCAAAATGACCAAGTTTCAATGAAATTTGCGTTAAGACATAAAATAATGACATGTGCAAGGTCATTAGTTTCCTTGATTAAAATGCAAACCATAATATACTTAAACGATTAATTCGCTTAAAATGTATCGAGTGTTGTTGCAAATTTGGGTTTAACTTTTTAATTTTCCATTTTTGATATGTTTAAAGCAGAAACAACCCTTTCCTTCATTTATTAGACTGAAATACCAAAAATCGTCGTTGACGCACATTTTAACATTCGAAACAAATAATGAGAATTTTTTTTAATTTATCGCTACAATAAAGAAACATTATGTGAGATGAATTTAATAATGCAAAATTTGCAAAAAACTTAACAATCAAGCCAGATTTAACACAATCGTGTGTAGGGTTTTGAACATCTTATTGATTCACACTTTTATGGAAATCATTCTTTGACCTTTAACGCTATCGAATGATCAAATGACAAAATATTCCAATTTTCTTTAAAATAACAGCTACGTACTTAAAAATGAGCCGGGGTATAATATTTAATCCTGATTCTCAGTTTAAAGAAAAGTGTATTGGCAGACAAACAGAGAAAACAATTATTCTGAATAGTTCGTCAAAAACAGTTGAAAAAATTATTTGCTTTTTCCGTTATAAATGTCATGAAAAAAAAGAAGAAAAAACATTGCATCCCCTTTTCATAAACTAGGTTGATACAATAAATTACTTACAAAGTAACATATATTTTGCAAACGCTGTAACAATTTGATTTGTATCTTGCTTCAAGCAGTTACAGTAGTATTTGTTATGTAACTCATTAATGATTTCTAAAGTTTATAACTAGATCAATTAATGAGTTTTTTTCACATTATAAATGAGCCGTAGTGTGCATTAAATACTGAATATCCCATTTTAGTGTGGTAGGTAAAATAGGATGCAAATCATGCAAATCTTTGCAGAAAATAAAATTTTTGACGGTATATAAGTCAGATAATGCATATTTAAAGGGTTTTCTTGTCGTATAACACGTGTATTTTACGACAAGAAAAGCCTTAAAATATGCATTATTTAAAACATAACATGAGTCCTTGCCTATTGCAAACGCATTTTTCATATTTCTTACATGTCCGATACTTGTACTTTGTAGGTTGCACTTCTGTAAATATAGACAATGCAATTTTCCATAGGAACTCTTTTTTCGGCTTAAACTGTGCCACTTTTACTATGAAGTTTCGTAAAAAAATATATCCTAGAATGAAAAGTTCAAATGCACTACTATTTTTTTTCAAAGGTCAAAACAATGGGCTGTGCGGCATAATTTCAACATTTATATGCCCAAAATTTTAAGAGTTAAAACTTATACTAAAATTCTGTACTACCCCTCCCTTCACTTTGGGTCTTCCTCAGAATTCAATTTGGCCGATATCCATTTGTATTTACACTGGTAATATTTCCAAGTAATGTCTCTTTGAGTTGCAACATAGAGATCATATCTGGGAACCTGTACGTAAACAAAACAAAATATCTATGAATATTATATATTTACCCAAAAGAGGCGTGGTTTGTGAAACAGCTTTATTTACAAAGTGCAACCTTTAGTAAATAATAAGTTATGTTGCTTCTTCGGACACCTCTATTACTGCTTGTGGACTATCAGTCAGCGAGGGTATCATCAGCTCAGTAGTCAGTACTTCGGTACTGACATGATTTATAACAAACTATATCAAATTGCCCGTTTATTAATTTTATAATTATACAGAAAATAAGGCTTCTACTCCCTCAGGCAAAGTTGGCCTTAGATGGATTTGGCTATATTTTTTTAGGTCCTTTTTGGTTTATAGCTCTTCAACATTTTCGGTCCTTATACATCCTTGTCTTTCAAATATTCGGCTTTGAGCGTTCCTGATGAAGGTAAATCCAGAAAAGCGCCTCGGACGCATGAAATATATAACGTGTTGTTTTTCATTTTTGTAGCATCATTGATACATACTGTAAAAATTTTACATTATAAGAAACGATCTAGTAGTGGAAAATAAGATATAACACTAATATTTATATTGATGATAATGATAATAATAATAATAAATTCGAGAATAGTTTAAAAACAATTGCTGACTTTTGATATATGTTGATAGAATGATTAACCAACCCCAGAGATATGATGTTCACCGAGGCAACTCTTTTGGGTTGATAAATCATTGTATCACCTTCATAAAAAATCAATAATTGTATAATAAAAGCAAGCTAAATCATGATGAGCTTATTTCATCAATCACCTCCAAAAAATATTAAAGTTTTTATACACCAAGATAAAGATTGGTGTGTTTATCTTATTTAGTTTTTTTTGTGTGCAATTAATCATACGCATTCATTTAAATGTCTAAAGAAGTGCATCAGGCATCAGTTTTGTTATCGTTACTTTTAAGGCAGACTGGATAAAACCAGAAAGACCTCCAGAACATTGGCCTGATATAGGATGTATACAGTTTGTCGATTACAGTACAAGATATCGAGCTGGACTTGACCTCGTTTTAAAAGGAATCTTCTTTGACATCAAAGGTGGAGAAAAGGTACACGACAATTATTAATATTTACTGAAAAAAGGAAAGTCAGTATGTTCTCAAGTAATGCTTGCATCGACTGAGTTTCGAATCTTTCAGTAATACTAACATACCTGACCTTTCTTTGATTATTGGAAATGCATGTTACAATAAAACAACGGAATTATGAGGCAAGTTCTAAAATATACAATTTAAACTAACACCAATAACTCATTATGGTATGAACATTCTTACCCCTAATTTCACAAAAAACAGAATTGTAAATGAACATTCCGATTTGTTTTTCTTGAAATTTGTATGTTTTCATATATATACACAGTATTCAATGCATTGATATTTTCCTCTTTCAATAAAAAAAAAATTAGGTGATACGAAACAAATACAAATGTTCAAAACAAATGTTATCATTCTTTTTTTAAATGAATATTCATTTAGTTTATATATGAAGGAAATCTAAAGAATGAACAAGACAAGTTTACTAGACAATGAAGGAACGTTTAGTTTGGTAATTAGTAATGGAATACATTGTGTAATATATAAACACGTTTACATGATTATTTTCTAATTTATTAATGTTAACTTTGTAACCTGAACATACGGTTGCTTATAATTGCTTAAATCCACTTCATTTGAACTTGTGTGGATAGTTGTCTCATATGCAATCATTCCACATCTCCTTACTTTTATATGCATGTTACTAGACCTCACTAAAAGAAATACACATTTCACACACGAAATTACGTAGACTTATTTATTGAGCGGTTGCAGTATCATTTAGTTTTGTTAAACCTGACAGATCTTTCAAAATAAGTAATCGTTCCAAGTTGGCATTTAAAAATAAGATAAACAAATTGTTTTATTTTACAAAAAGGAAACTAAAACCACATCAATTAATAATTTTCCGAATAAAATAAATGTTTAGGTCCTTCGATATTTGACCATACTTATTTTAGGTATTATGTTTATTTGCATGAAATCCATATGTTATAAGAACTTCTCTGATTTTGTGTAGAGATTTTATGTTAAAATCATCAGTCTTTACTGCTTATCAATCGACATTGAAATTATCTTGAAATTCTCTTGTCAAGCTTCGTTAAAAAATGGTATTTAATCGTTCATGTAACATACACTGATGAGTCTTTATTAGAAAAAATGCGCGTCTGGCGTATACAATTTTAATCCTGGTTTCTATAATGAGTGTTTTAAACACATCCATCAGAAAAATAGATTTAAGATTGCTACGCAAGAAATTGTTCCGCATATCAACATTGTAAATTTTTATCAAACAAAACTTCTATAACTTGTGTACTTTTATTTTAATTTTCTTTAAAGATTGGAATTGTTGGGCGAACAGGTGCAGGAAAATCGTCTTTAACTTTGTCGATTTTCCGCCTTATTGAGAAATCAAGTGGAAACATTATTATTGATGGGATGAAAATAGACGGCATTGGCCTTCATGATTTAAGGTCACAAATTTCCATTTTACCTCAGGTAAATAATAAAATAGAAAGATGAAGAGGTATGTTCGAATTTCCTTTGTATCGTTATGAATCTGAATTCTTACAAAAACCATCTTAAAGACAAAAATTAAAAGCATCTTGCCAGATTGATAAGCTGTATGTTCAGATATATTGATGACTTACTGTTACTCAATAACACACATTTCGCTATATAGATGATGTTCTCTCACAAAATAATTCATAGTTTGGTGAGAATGTTGAAAGCATCTATCCCATCGAACTTGAAAAAAGGATACAACAAATACAGTTCTGTGTCATATCTTGACTTACATCTCGAAATTGACAATAAGAGTCGGTTGAGAACAAAACTTTACGACAAGACAGATGATTCCAGCTTCCGAATTGTGATCTTTCCATTTCTGTGTAGCAACATTCCAGCAGCACCTGCATATCGAGTATATATCTCCCAGTTGATACGATATTCCATAGCTTTCATTTACTGTCATAATTTCCTTGATAGATAATTACTACTTACAAAGGTGCTATTGAACAAAGAGTTCCGAGTGGTGACGCTGAAATCATTCCTTCGAAGAAAATTTGACGGACGCTATCACGAGTTGGTTGACCGTTATGGAATATCTCTTTCACAGATGACGACGTATATTTTCCCATTGTCGTATCCACAATCCCGTCCTATGCGACCTAACTAATTAACTCATAACCGAGTTTGTACTCCACATGTGGAGCTGGATCTGCTTACCCTTCCGGAGCACCTGGGATCACCTCGAGTTTTTTTCCGGTTCGTTCAGCTAAGTCTTTAGTTTCCTTGTAGTGTTTTGTGTACTGTTTGTCTTTTCGTGTTTTTTTTTTTTTTGCAATGGGTTTGTCAGTTTCTTTTCAACTTATGATTTTAAATATCCCTTTGGTATCTTTCGTCTCTCTTTTTCAATCATATATCCCTGTAGCTTGCGTATAAGGATACTAGAAGGGCTGCTTCATGTTTGTCATGAAATTAAAATATACTTCAATCTTAGATATCTTTAGATACCAGTATAATCGCCTGATCTGTAATTTTACTGATGGTGTTTATCCTGATTGTGACATTTTCATTGTGTTGATTCGTGTGGCGGGTGAGGAATGCTTGCAAAAGACGCTTACCTTGTCAATGCACCCGGTCTTGCTCCTTTTGGAGTTCACGCAATTCACTGTTTGTGTTTGTTTGCCAACTTAATTAAAACTATGATCTATGACTAATGTGAGGATTTCAGTTTTTTTTTCATTATCAACTCTACATTTACCAGCAGTAAACTATTTATTTCAGCACCATTGTATGGTGTAAAAGAGGGACGAACGATACCAGAGGGACAGTCAAACTCATAGATCGAAAACAAACTGACAACGCCATGGCCAAAAATAAAAAGACAAACAGACAAATAATAGTACAGATGACACAACATAGAAAACCAAAGACTAAGCAACACGAACTCCACCAAAAACAAAGGGTGATCTCACTTGCTCCGGAAGGGTAAGCAGATCCTGCTCCACATGTGGCACCCGTTGTGTTGCTTATGTTATTACAAATCCGGTAAATAGTCTAATTCGGTTAGTCACATTCGTGAAAAGGGAGGGTATTGTAGATACGACATAAGGAACATATCCGATATCATCTGTGAAACGGTTATTCCATAACGGTCAACCAACTCGTGATGGCGTCCGTAAAATTTACGAAGGGATGACTTCAACTTCACCATTTGGAACTCTTGGTATCTCAATTGGAACATTGTGTTTGTGCATGTATACACTATACAAACTCAACTCTGAATTAAAAGAATGTGATCAAAACATAAAATTCCTCCAACAACAACGTCTAGGTTTTGACAACATTATGCAATATTTCTAAGCAAGTAATCAAATAAAACATATATAACACTGTAATTGTTTACTTTAATGTTCTGACAACATTAGGTAATATTACTAACGATTCAAAGAAAATGAAACATGCTAAAAAAGGAATTAAATTGTAAAGGATTAGGAGCAACAAGGCCCTTATTTGGCCCAAATATAAAAGCAACATTTTAAAGTTACCATTCGTGGTCTTAACTTTGCCCTCAAATTCTAAACAGTATTTAGAAAATAAAAACAAATTTCACATGTGATGAGTTACTATGGCAACACATCTTGACTAAATTTTTATTTAAGACAGACGGACAGATACCAAAAACATGTTTATTGTACAACAGATCAGAGTCTGAGCTTGTTTCGCCATATGATATAAAAACAAGATTGACGAAAAAATGTCATTATTCAAAGTCATAAAATGCAAAAAATACATTTTGCAGATAAAACATTTGACATAAATATTCATAAGCAATATGCAATTATAATACATAATTTTTACGAAATTTTATAAACTAAAATCAAATCAATTGAATAAATGAAAAAGAATAACAAAGGTGGGGAGAAAAACCTGCCCCATCAATAAACATATATATATATATATATACTTCTAAAGATAAAATAAAGGGAGGTATACGGTTGGAATTTGAATTTCACACAAGTTATTTGTTAGAATTACAAGTTAACAAGTCAAAAGCTGATGATAAAAGGAAGTGCAAACACTGCACATACACGTTAACTCGTGCTGACCCCGCAAGATCATTGACCTATTAGAAAGAGGAAATCAACTCACGTAATGGTAATTAGTTAAATTTCTTTATACGTAAAAAAGTGTTACAATGTATCCAATTTCAACAATTTATCGATCAATTAAGTTTGGACAAATCTGACCCACTGACCACTACCAGACCCACTACAGAGACATCATAAACAGTATTATTTTTTTCTCTCTCTCTCTCTCTCCCTCTCTCTCTCTATATATATATATATATCAGTGTAAGCTATAAAACTACAGAATTAATCTTCCCTGCTGTCTTAAAGTATTTTATTCAGCTATTGAATTAACAAATACAATTGTTTTTTTGTAAAATTTCTTGACCTTCCTTGTTTTATAACAACTTTTGTATATTTTGGATTGGAGAAAATTGTACAAAAACAAGAAACAACTTTGAATATGGTGAGCTTGTGTGAAAAGTTATATAATATTTTTTTTCTAAAACTATTTAAATGATTCTTGGCTACGCACTATGTTTCCACAATTGAAGTGTAGATGGAAAACTTGATAAATTCAGCATTTTCTTCATGTTCATGAAGAAGACGCATATTATGACGCAACTGTGACTTCATAACATATCCATTCATACTATGAAAAGTTGAATTAGTTCCAAAAAAAATCGTTTTCTTAGAACAAACATTGACTGTTACACCTTTGACAGTTTTTATCATAATTTTTAAGGCAAAGTTGATCTTTGATAGATTTGGAAATTATTTGTAGGTCCTTTTTTGGTTATATAGTTTTCAACTGTTTCAGTTCTTATACATTCTTGGCTTTCAAAATATTCGTCTTTGAGCGTTACAAATGAAGATAAATCAAGTTAAGCATTTCGGACACATACAATTTACATTGTGCTATTTTAATTTTTTCAAGTATTTTTTTTCTGAAAGTAAAATAAAAATATGGTAAATATCAAACCACGATCTGAAATATACGTTTTTCTGTTAGACTTTTGTTTGATACTTTATCTTCCTTATACACATGTTTAATTTTATTTCTAGGTGTCCTTAAGTACACAATTTACAAAAAAAAATTTTGTTTTCAAAAAGTTTTCAAACTAGCTGTCAGCAGCGAGGTGTGTTACTCCAGCAAATAAGACTTACCTTCATATGACACTAATTTCAATCAAGTTTCCTATTCTGAGCCATCAAGTCAAACTGGTGCAAGGGAAAATTGACATAACTATTTGAATTAATATAAAACTTTACAATATTAAGGATTAACAAGCATGTACATGTAAAAATAACGAACAAAATGAATAACAAATAATGCCATATAAAGTTATTTCCTCACAAAGTATTGTTATCTATTTAATTTCATTTTTTAATGGATACATTTAGTAGTGTTACAACATTTAATGTGATATTAATTTTACAAAATTTTATATGAGTTTAAGAAAATTTAAGTTTTGCAACTTTTTGTGAAAATTTGGCTATTTTGCCGCGTTTAGTTTCAATTGTATAGTAGTAGCAAAGCAAATGTTTCTTTCTTTTATTTCTGTCAGGATCCTGTGATATTCTCAGAATCACTTCGCGAAAATTTAGATCCAAAAAATGAATTTAGCGATGAACAGATATGGAAAGCTCTGGCATGTGCACATCTTAAAGACTATATTGCAAATCAAAATCAATGTTTGGAAACAGAACTCGGAGAAGGTGGTGGAAACCTTAGGTATGAATTTTATAAATAGAGGTACACAAAGACGAAAAAAGAACCAAACAACCCAAAAGATCTATATCAGAGTTCAGAAGGCCTGAGAGCTGATATCGATCGATGGTTGGTGTCATATGCTAAACAATTCAAAGAACAAGAAGATATGGCATTATTGCCAATTGGACTAATATCAACCAGACACTATATGACGTAGAGAGTGTAATACAGGGAATGTGAAACCATGTATGCGACACATGGCATGTACTATGAGTTACAATGAGATATTTGAAAATATTAAGCATACGATAAAGATCAGTCCAAAAGCAGATATTTCTAAATGCATGAAAATTCCATTATATTCAATATTTTTTTTTCAAACCCCAGTCCAATCTTACCAGATACACCAAAGGATTTTTCATATTGTGAAATAACGAATATCTGTCAATAATGTTCATTTGATATTAGTATTCATGAAGTTGGATTATCATTTGTCCATGATCTTTTGTTTTTTATTTTTGGAATTTATATATATATTTTTTTCAAATCTATGTTTATTTTTTCTTGAAGTCTATCTTTGTTGTTTTCTTCCGTTTTATTTGAAAAGTTTAAAAGATGCAAGTTATGCAATATGATTAAAACAATTTCTGTAAATAATTCATGTAATTGTTCATGTTCCAATGCCGGAGTTTACGTGTATCTAGACTGTTTTGTTTTAGATCCTTGTCCTTTAACATCAGCAACGTTCCTCCTCACAAAGAGTAACATTTAAAATTCCACTTTATTTTCAAAATCAGCCTGTTCCTATTATATCCTAAAGTTACACCAAAACTTTTGCGCTTTTTAACTATATTTAACGTATTTAACTATAAGCATTGCATGACCTTGATTTATAAGAATACTTTAAAAAAACCTCTGACATGTGACTGTTCCCACTCACCTTATATTTACAGACTCTCTGGTCATAATATTACTGAGGATCTGAACAGTATTCAACATGACCATCTCCGAAAGGTGATATCTCATGGTCAAAAATTCAGAGAACCCCAACACATCAATTGGAACCATAACTTTAAAATAATAAAGGATTCCATTTAGCTACGCCAGAGCAAAGGCTAATCGAGAAGACGTTCTGGATAACTGGACACTTTGTCAGAATGAGTGAAATCAATCAGGTCTCTGATAAAACGTCGAATTCATAAGTTAAAAAACTGTAAGAATGATCGACCAAAGTCCGTGTTTAGAGACAAAGAAGCTGTGAAATGTCTATCATCTCTTCACGATAGATATATTGTTGATCCTGTGGACAAAGCTTCAAATAATATTGTTTTTGTATGTAAATCGTACTGCTACGAGTGTCTCGTAAAAGAATTAGAGTTTAAATGAGCACTCAGGTAATCCCACATACAAAAACATATCATTTGACAAGGATGAGATTTTGGCTAATCATAAGTCCTTCATGACTTCAATAAACATTACATTGAACAGCAAACCTGAGGACTTACCTTGTATTGGATACATAAGCTTCACAAAATTCCGTACAAACAACGGTATATTGCCGGCTCATCTGCATGTTCTACAAAGGAATTGTCCATTAGATTGACACACATTCTGTCCGCAGTAAAAAAGGGTCTTCAGATCTAGAAATATTGTGAAACTGTTTACTCGCGTTGTGGTATAACTATAACCATATGTGGATTCTAAAAAACTCAAAAGAACTTCTGGATAATTTTAAATCTCGATCTTTCTCTGAAATCAATTCTGTCAAAACTTTTGATTTTTCAACCCTTTATACAACAATTCCCCATGTGAAATTGAAAATTCGTCTAAAAGAAATAATCCACAATACTTTTCAGTATAAAAATGGTTGTATACGCTATAAATTTATTGCTTTGGGATACCATACGGCATGTGTTGTTAATAGTGAACAAAAAGGTAAAACATGCTACACAGAGGAACAAGTGATCAGTATGCTCGAGTTTCTTATTGACAGCATATTTGTTGAATTTTTTAGGTAAACTTTTTCAACAAATTGTCGACATTCCTATGGGAACGAACTGTGCGCATCTCCCTGTCGACCTCTTCTTATTTTCATATGAGTTGGAGTTTCTTCAGATACTTCAAAGAAGCCAGATCATTTAATTTCACATTCAGAAGATTGATGACAGGGCTTCCTCCGCCTCATTTTTAGAATTAAACCTCGAATTTGACATCAGTGGTAATCTCAGTACCAGAATCTATGACAAACGAGACGATTTTTATTTTAAAATTATAAATTACAACTTAGTAGCAATATACCAACTTCACCTGTATATTGGATATACATTTCCCAACTCATTTGGTATTCAAGACCTTGCAGCTACTATTCAGACTTTATAAAACGTCACTAGTGTCTGAGCAGAAAGTTGATGAACAAGGGTTATGTCAAAAAACGTCTCGTCCTTTTTATTCATCGGAAGATACCAATACCTTGTTGATAAATATTCCATATGGTACATAATGGTCTTGGAGTATAGATTTTAGGTACTGACGTTGTTTATCATCTAAATCACGTGTTATAGTGTTCTTGTTATGTGTCTTTGTATAATTTTAACCTTTACTGTTTACTCCATTTATTGTAATATATTTTTGGCGTGGCCCGGTACTTATACATCCCGTCATTGTGTTATTGTGCTATGGTCAATTTTGTATTATTGTCTTTCATTTCTGCTTATGTAATTTCTATATGTGTCTATATGCCATTTCGTTTTTCTTTGTTTAAATAGTTATTTGTTTTTATAGTGATTAAGATTATAACACAATGTTGACTGCTGTACCCCAATTTTTGACATTTTTACCTATTATGTGTCTTTGTTTTGCTCACACATTGTTGTCAATATAATGGAATGCTATATGACTGTCATACAAGTAAGAAGTTTAGCTAGCTACAAAACCAGGTTTAAGCCACCATTTTCTACATATGGAAATGCCTGTACCAAGTTAGGAATAAGACAGTTGTTTTCCATTCGTTTGTTGTGTTTGAGCTTTTGATTTTGCCTTTTAAGAAGGTACTTTTCGTTTTGAATTTTCCTTGGATTTCGGTATTTTTATTATTTTCTTTTTAATACTTCTTAATTTGTGATCTCGAGTAATCACCGTAACAATAAGTCGGCAAATCATTAAGGCAAAGTTGACTGTTTTTGTTGATCTTCTTAGGCCCTTTTTGTTTAAATAATACCGTCCGAACAACGGGTACCTTAAGAATGAAATCTAGAATGTAATAAAAATAAGATGGATTACCGAGTTTTAGTGTAGTAAAAAATTGTCTTCGGAGACTTTGAAAAAAAATTATCCACTGGTTTTGTATAGATCGCATTTGATGGTGACTTCTACTTTACTTTTGTGTGATAGTTTCAGTGCTGGCTTAGATTTTTTCTCAGAAGCGAAACCGTAATCAAGAGACTATCAAAGCTAACTCAGTGTTAAACTATATTTTTTTCAACAGTGTAGGTCAAAGGCAGCTGCTTTGCTTGGCTAGAACACTTCTGCATAAACGTAAGATACTGATCCTTGATGAAGCTACAGCAGCGGTTGACATGGAAACTGATGCGTTGATTCAACAAACGATAAGAACACAGTTTGCTGACTGTACAGTACTGTCTATTGCACATCGAATAAACACAATAATGGACTATGATAGGTACTTATCTAATAACGTATCAAAGAATTCTAATGAGAGGTTGAGCTAGCTATAAAACCAGGTTTGATCCACCATTTTCTACATACGGAAATGCATGTACCAAGTCAGGAATATGACAATTGTTTTCCATTCGTTTTAATTGTTTGAGCGTTTGATTTTGCCATTTGAAAAAGAACTTTTCTTTTGAATTTTTCTTTTTAGTTTTCTTTTATTTTTAAAACTAAACAAACTATTACGTTTTATTGTTTTATTATGCACATACCATTATAAAAATAAAGCAAATAATTCACTATTTTTCAGAATATTGGTAATGGACCAAGGCTGTATAGCACAATTTGATACACCCAGTTCTTTGCTGACAGACAAACATGGGGTATTCTTTTCACTGGCAAAAGAAGCAGAGCTTGTACATAGCAGCAAATAATTTGTTTTGATAAAAACAGTATCATAGATTGAGCCAAAATTTGTAGTTCGAAGTGGTTTCCTTGAATAAAACATAACTTGTATTTGTGAATACAATCTATGCTCATTAGATTGTAATATAACTTTCTAATTTAGAAATTTTGAAATAAAGTCGAGCCTTTTTATGTACAGAGTGAAGATAGTGTTCGTTATTCGAAAAATAAAGTGGTCATTACTAACGGAATTATCGACACTAATAGTCCAATTGATATTGAATCAAAAGGGAAAAAAGGTACCAATAGGGCAACGAAAGAGTACAAGTCGAAGAGGATAAACAGCACAATGGCCAAACTATAAAAGATGAACAGAAAACAACAGTCTACAAAACACTATACAGAAGACTAAAGATTTAGCACACTAATCCCAACAAAAATAGATTATCTGCAACGCACAACTTATTACGATCGACCAATTCGTTATACGGCATTTTAACATTGATTCGACTAGGGATGTTACAATGTTCTTGCTCTTCAATGGCAATGTTTACCTTTTTTGTTTGCGCATTTTTTATTAAAACTAAAGTTGTTATTAAGTGCCAAAAAAAAAAATAAAAAATAAAAAAAAAACAATACCACTAACCCGGTGTTAACGTATATCACTGAATAAAGGTAAAACTTAAAGAATTACTTTTTATAAATAAAACTCCACATGATTACGCTTCGAGTACATAAGTTCCATAACCAAATTTTCCCCTGTTAATTCGATATTCACAAAAAAACTAATCGCCAAAATGTACAAAAATTTTGCAGATCGAATAAACTTCTGATATCTGAATTTTACAGGTTAAGGTTGTGCTTACTATAATTTAATTTGACAAACTTAAAAAAAAACCTACCAAGTTATAATTCAATTATTAAACCTAGACAGAATGTTAATCTTACACTCTACAAATGGCTGGTAATAAGACAATAACATTTGTACTTTCCATTGTGTAACGGAAGATAATTCAATTTCTCACAACTTAGAAATGTCAATTGGCAGTTGACTAAATATACGAGAAAATCTTAGATAATTAAGTTTGTTAATAGTCACAACAATAGCCCTTGTCAGTATGCGATTCAGCAATGTTTAGTCATCTGAAAATAGTCAAAAGGCAAAATAATGTAATAATAAACTAATTGAAATAGAGACAAAACATAACATTCCAAAACAGACATTAATAGAATATAAATGAATCTGTGAGGTATTTCTCAATTTTGACTGATAAGCACATGCCTTTTAAAAAATTATACCGTAAAGAGATGTTAATACCATTTAGAAGTGTTTGATTATAAACTTATCATATATACTAGGCTTAAAATATTGTACGCCAGATGCGTGAGATATTTTTGTGTCAAAATTTAATTCCAATTTCTAGATATATATACCGTATGACATAACCCTCAGAAGCAATCCCTTTGTTCCTCATTGTATTCGTTAGCAGATTATAAAACGCATTTATCTCAATTCATGCTTAGGTGAAAAGCTACTCTTTACATTTTTTCTGATGTTTATAAAATTACATGTATTGTAAAACGTCAGTACACGATTTGTAAAGTTTTCTCCTATACTAAACCTCTTATTTAAATCTTAAAGTTGAAAGTATTTGAAATATTTTTAATCATGACTTCTTATTATTGTACTACATACTGGACATTAAAAATGAAAACTAAATGGAAAACATATAGAAATTATGAACAGATTCAGGAACAAGCGTCAGATGCCTTGACCACATCTATTTACAAGGATAAAAAATATAATTAACATCGTAATATGTAGAATTTGAAAAGACAAACAGATAACCTTGCCCTTTCAGGAATTAATAGTTGACAGAATATTCTCGGTTGTCGCATTCTTGCACACGTTTTGAGACTAATATAGAATTAACGTGATTAAGAGATAAGCTGATGTCGTTTTTGTTTTTAGTTTCTGACACCATAATCACCTTAACGTCAAATCTTCTTTTATTCAAGTTCGACATAGCCTCTCATTCAAAGAGAATATAAGTAAATACTGAAGCAGACAGGTGAAACTTTTGATAAAACTGAAAAAATCGAAAAAAGGTCGAAAAGCTTTGGCATTGAATATCTATACATTGACGATAACTGCATTGGTAGTTTATCGATGTTCAAATCTCAAAAACCGATTGGGAAGACAAATCAAGGCAACCAAAAACAAAAACAAACTGAGGGAACCTTAAAAGAGCAAGACCGGATGCGTCGACAAGGTACGCGTCTCTAAACATTCATCTTATCTATCTAACCTACATTAACAATCAATTGTACACACAAAAAGTGAAAAATAAAAATAAAATTTCTTTTTTATGTTTTGTTATGTATATTCATTTCATTACTTAAAAAATATTCAGTCAATGACCTCAGTGATACGCAGACGAAGACTCGACACGTATATGTTTCGGGGGAACTCATTAAAACCTATGACATGTCCATCCTTCGTACTATAAAATCAGTTAAACCATTACCACTGTTCGTTAACAAATATGGTAATGCCTTTTCTCCTACGGGATTATTGTAAATTTTTAATTTACTTCCAGTACTTTGGCCTTCTTAAAAGCATTTATTGACAGTCATGTAGGTGTTTTATAATTATAAGTACAACGTATTTTTAGTAGCCACTGGAGACAAATCTCATGTATAATACATCCAATCAACCTTTTCATTCACTGATTCTATAATGACAAAACTTTATAAAAAGATCCGCAGTATTGAAATTAAACTAAAATAAAATTCATTGTTAATATATATGATCCCTGGGACAACATAATTCAAAAACTTGTTTGATATTGTTATAGGTTTAAACTAGTACATATAAGAAAGAACATTAAATTTTCTCAGATGTGAATAAGAGTTGCAAATACGTTTTTGAAATATACATTTATGCAAATAAAAAGAGATAATGAGTAAAATCGACCAGAGAGCAACCCCAAGACATAAACTCGCCAAAAATACATAAACGAGTTTGGCATAAGGCGTTAAATTTTAGAACTGCACCACGCCATAATTTAGCTCTTATTTTTTTGAGAGTATTAAAAGACACATGTCCAACAAGAACAAACTTGAAAAGTGCGATGAAGTCAGTTATATCGATGTTACAGTTATATCGAACCCAGTTACATAAATTCAATACTACATGCAGAATATGACAGGACAAATGTCTCATACCTATTGAAATGAAGCCTGAAGAGATTTATCTGTTAATAATGAAAACCCTCTTACGCGCACAAACTGCCTTGGTGACCCTTTCGTAGGTACTAGCATCTGGAGCGGGGTAGTGTGATTGGTAAGGTCAAACCAAAGAAATAAAAACAATGATTTCCCCCAACTAAACAAACAGCATTCATAACAAACAGTAATGACAGGGTGATTCGGAGTCAGAATAAGGCGTCCATGTAGGGCTTCATGTCTTCTTGTGGAATGTGTATATGGTATTTGTCGATGCTTAATTCATTATACTGTGTCCATATGAGCAACAATTTAATTACTAGTAATCTTGTCCGCACTGTGATAACGACTGGTGTACTTCGTAAATCTGACAACGTCAAAATACTCATATATTATTAATTATATAGTGTGCCGAGACAAATTTAGAAATATTTAAAGGAGCATTAGCTACAAATGTACGATTTACAAAAAAATATTAAATACGAATCTTTGAGTTTCAAGTATTAATAAAAGCGAAATTTTAAAATAATATTTCGTTATAAGCCAAATTTGTAAAAATAAGCTCCAAAACATCGCTGATGTATTATTGTCTTACAAGTGAATAATTCGACCTCATGTGAAACCGTTTTCATGCGAACGTCAATGTAACCCCTTAGCTTGAGATGGGTTACGCATGTACTAGGCGTGTTCAGCTATTAAAAGGAAAAGAATGTCAACATTGAAAGTGAAACAAGGATGAACCATTTCATTGACTAAATCGATCCACAAAAAATCATTGGTATGCAGGTAAAAACGATGATTAACTTATTTTTTAACCTATAACATGAAATCAAACAGAACTAGAAAAACCAATTGCACGTGGTCGCTATCTATTTATATCTATGTTTATATTTATATCGGGTTATATGACCATCGGCAGTCTTCGGAGGTCATCTCGATGGTTAACTAAATAGCGTCTAGACTAAAATACACACCAAATGCGGATATATGTTATCGGCTCAATGCACTGTTAATTGTCTATTTTAGATTTATTGTAATTTGGATATACGTTTCAGTATGTTATAAATCAAGATGAGAATTAAGTCAAATGGGTGAACATGAATTTGACAGCTAATGACCCTTAAACAGTAAAAGAAAAGAAACATATGTGTCAGAATGAAGGCCATTTAACTAAAGGTTTTCGTAATTGTTATGAAAGAATTTCTGCATATTTAATACTTTTTTTCTGGCATTTCTAATTAGAGTGAATACAAGTGCAAATATGTTATCTGTACATGCACCATTTTGAAAGTTGAAGTAAACCAAGATAATAATGGAAAAGGGGAGACAATACATACCAACTTCAAATTGGACATATGTAAAAGAAATGCAGACAAAACAAACACCAAAAGAAAATTGACAACAAATTTTTTAAAGCTCTCAAAACATTAGACAGAAAAACTTAAGAGTGAACATTACCAACTCCACAATAAAGCAGGCTTACACCCATTCTCAAGAAGGGTTCTCAGTTCCTGCTGTAACAGTGACACTCGTCATGTTGGAAATAAAGACATAACTAAAATGTCATTACACGTAAAATGCATCATTTATCAACAAAGTTGTAATCAATATACTGATATTAGATATAAGAAGATGTGGTATGAGTGCCAATGAGACATCTCTCTATCCAAGTCAAAATTTATAAAAGTAAACCATTATAGGTCACAGTACGGTCTCCAACACGGAGCCTTGACTCACACCTAACAGTAAGCTATAAAGGGCCCCAAAAAATTACTAGTGTAAAACCATTCAAACGGGAAAACCAACGGTCTAATCTATATAAAAAACGAGAAACGAGAAACACTTA